TATGAGTAACTCGCTCATCTTCGGCACCATTTAGTCTAAGACCTGTTTCACTTGGAAGATCAATTGAAGCAGCGCAGCTCATGGAAGAACGTTTAGCTACACGTTCTTGCGGCGCCAAAGGGGACAGCTACTACAGGAAACCTCAGGCTGAACGGCCACATTAGTCAGTACCGAGCCGAAGCATCATTGGTTCGTCACTGCCGCATGACGATCCGCGATGTTCGGAAATCACGTTGAGGTGGGAACCTTCTCGAGCGGATTTCACTGGAAAGAGAAGCATGTACGTACTGCGCTTATTTATGTTGTAATCTAAATCTGGAAAGTCTCTTACCTCCGGGATATCCTTGTTTTCCAACGGACTTTACATAGTCCCTTTTCGGGTGTATTGGGTGACAACTAGAAGATACAAGGGTTCTTCTAGGATGTAAGCTGCAACAATATTCGCTTTCCTACGACGTCACTGGAACTGCCCATAGCCGGCAACCTCCGAATTAACAGGTCATTGGAAATAAGAAATTGACACCTGTCGCTGGAACGACGCGCATGGTTGCCATACCCCGTTCCTTTTGGGAGTTTTCCGCAACAGTAGCCGACCTGTTGTTTCCCCAATGGTTATCGACGCGCCTTTTGGCGCAAAAGGATCAGTATGCCCCTCACCCTTCATATGTCCGGTTTTGAGGGCTGGTACACTCGGATACAAGACGAATCGGCGGGACTCTCCATCATCTTAATTTTTTTGCTCTCTTGGAGACTCGACGCCATCAGCACTCCTGGGAAGCACTATTTCCATTTCTCAGTAACACCTGTTGGTGACTCGTCTACTATCGAGCCGGTCGAGTTCCACTTATTCCCTGATGACCTTCAACATATCGTGGACTCCCTGCCCGATTCAGAGACAGGTTTGCAACCATATACTTTGAACATACCTAATATCGGAAGCTTCACCGTGGAGCCAAAGACCCAACGTTATAATCTCACAGTCCCATGTGGAGAAAGCTCTTCCGAGCACTGGAAAAGTGTCCATAGACATAACCGATCGTGTTCCATTATCGCAAGAGCACCCTCTACTGAGTACTCCGCACAGCATGGCCCTTTTCAAGATTGGAAACTTTACTTCCATTGCATTGGGCAATTTTCTCAACCGGATCGAAGGCAAATTACGACGTGAAGCATATCGGCGCCGATGGGGCGGGATCAGAAGTCTTTGGAGGCACCGGGGTGGCACATATGGAAAAGAACTGGGGCGCATCGTTTCCAACTGGCTGGACATGGTATGTCGCTGCGCTATGCTTCGCCCGCTTCTCCAATTCGAGCTTTTTTTTGTTGTAGGTGTCAGGCATTTGGCGCATCTTCGCACGATCCCGCTCAGACACTCGGTGACCATCGAGACAATGCGACGAGAGATTGTGTTGCCATTGCGGGTGGTGTCCTCGCTTTGGGTCAAAAGGCATATCTCATCCATTACAAGGATTCAGGTGACGCTCGGCGCGATGAACGTTCGATCCATCCAAGTTATTCAGCGAAAGACCATGAAAGTACTGAAAAGTCTGATCCTAATGACAAGCAGCATATCAACTGGACCTTCCGCCCACTATGGACTCTGATTCTAGCACTTCCATATCCCGTTGGTATCCCACGATTCAAGATATCGCGGAAGAATCCAGTGGAAAAAAATCCCTCATTGTCCAATACCTTGACTCCTCTGCTGGCCGTGGATCAACCACCGTCAGCACATTGACGTTTAATTTCTCCATCCTCGGCCTCCCTGCACTATTACTCACGATCCCTTATGCCGTCATCCAGTTTTCTCCATTTGGATCCATGCATGAAACGTTCACATACGACGAACGCTCGGATTTGGACGATTGCAGCTTATCGCCACGACCCTTAACAGACGGATCCTAATCGATGCACAGTCAGAGTCGCGACCTACCACTCTCACTTCACAAGTACAGCCGAGATGGCTTGCGCTGCATTGCCCAATGCCTGGTGGGCATGCCATGCATGCGTACGAGACATTCACAGCGAGGGCAACGATAAGAGCCTACAGGCGCCAGTGGAGATTTGGCTGGCCACGATGGGTCGAAATCAGGAACGTCGAGTTTGAACACGTGGCATTGGAGTTTGGAGGATTGTATGCTGCGATAGCATGATCAGTGCCTCAATAAATCAAAGACGCCAATATGAGACGAGCTTATTATAACTTGCGGGAAAATTGTGCCCTTCCAGTTGCATATATTGGACCCTGGCTGCTCACCTTCTATAACTTTATTCTAAATCATGCAGATGTGTTATTCTGTATGCGGGGATCGGATGGAGTATATGGCTAATGGCCACCCCAGGCTGATGCTGGTACGTTGAGGATCCTGATGTGTCTGGTTCCGAACACAATAACCAGTTGGATAAAACGTTGCTCTTTCCTGGCATGCATGATTCTGGGATGAAGTCATCGAGAACTGCTACCGTGGGTGGAGGGTTTAAGGATACCTATCCCATTTCTTTGTGCAACGGACTTGGGATTAATCCGAATGCGGCACAAATTCTGCTGGCCACAGGTTTCAGCATGATCAAGCCGGGGTGGAACGAGGCACTCTTCGAGCCTCATAAGTTCATGGGCCAAGTTGGGATGGGTTTGCCCATACATTGGCTTTATTTAACGCGATGCAAAAAAATCGTTCACTTTTGTCCCGATATCTTGTAGCACTAAACGCTCGCACACCCGCATATCTATCATTTATACTACGTTGGTTCTTTGTCACATTATGGATGAACACCGGGTGAAACGGTGGAAATTGGCAAAAGAAATGCCGATTTTTTTAATACGTTCAAAGTGATCCGTTTCGGCCAAGCCTTTTAGCGGTGCAGGTTGGCTCAAATGAACAGATAGATATATACCTTCATTCTTCTGATGCGGAGTGAAAAGCGAATCAAGGAACTATGAAAAGCGCAAAAGCAAAAAGTCTGTGGTCATAAACGCTGGCGAGCATTCATGTTGTCCGACCCGGGACTAAACGACAGTGCAAGGAAGGAATGGTCATAGATCCGTTGAAGTCTCCGAGCCCGTATATATACACACTGCACCATAGGGAAAGGGAACCTCGTCTGAGGGAAGTCCAGAAAGATGGAAGGGCGGCCTAGCGAAACTTCGCCATTCCCCCTCTGATAGTGGATAGAACGCGGAAGGTAAATAAGAAGATATTGCAATTGACCACAAACATCCTAAAGGACTTGACTAAGATCAACAACAATTGGAGCTGTCTGTCGGCCTTGCAAGAGAATTCGAGTCCCATCTTTGCTGGACCGAGGGCTGTACAGACGGGTAGGATCAGATGGCACTTTATCACCATACGAAGCGCCTAGACGTTCGGCACCAGAAAAGAAAACTGGGTAATATTCCTTGGGAATAAGGAATTCAAATTTGCCATCGAAGTACAGTGGTAGGCCAGTGGGGTGCAGAGTAGTTCCGAACAGTGGGGTTCTGCCTGCAGCAGACGAATGGATGCCAAATCTCTGCCGCCAGTCCTGCCGCTCGTCCTCCTTTTGCAAGAGAACATAAAATGGGCACTTGATCCAGGATTCGTCCAAGTTATGCCCTGCGTGTGTTTTGGAATGATGTATATCTGCTACTTCACCTTCTGTCAAGGAAAGGGTAGGCTGAGTGAATACAGGATCAGGGATGCGATAAGAGCGGGCGAGGGGAACAGCAGGATTCATGATCCAAAACTTGATATCTGTCACACAATAACTCGCAATGAGCTCACCCGAACCCGTCGACCAGGTGAAAGCGCTGAGGCCATCGAAAGCGCCGATATAATGTGCTCCTGGAGAAAACCCAAGCGTGCGACGGTGAGGAGTAGCGAGCACAAGGTCATCTGGGTCATCTGGGCCATCTGGGTCAGATTTGATGGATGCAGAGGACAAAAGAGAAGACCCGGAGGCTAAGATAGGAGGATTGGATGTTGGAGTGAAACTATTGGAAGTAGGGGGTGCAAGGTGCTGCATGTGCGGGTCACCCGACATTGATATGAGAGTCATGCTGTCGTACCAAGAGCTATCAGTGTTCCGTGGAACCCGTATGATAAATAACCCATTATCTGATACTCGAGTTACAGCAGGAAGAGGATTGTTGGGAAGAGTACCGATATTAACGGGTGCCATATCGTGGCCAAGGATGGTGACATTCCCCTTATTGTCCTCGGCGGCAACTTGGTGGCTGCCATGGACAAATTCGATCCAGATTGGATGGTTGGGTGGATCAAGCTCGAATCGGGAAATTGTGCACTGATGGTCGATATCGGCAAGCTCGATGACACCGCTACCAAAACCAAGAGCTACATGGTGACCATCAAGGGAGAGCGCCGCGCATGTCACGATACCGTTACGAACATCACAGTCGTTGAATTGGGCATCATAATCATACCGACCACCAGCCTTCTTTGGCAAATTAGGTAGCTTCGCCTCCATGACCATTCGAGCACCGAGTAAATCCTCACTCAATGGGATTCTGTGCCCAGAAAACTCGCCGGAAATGGTGAAGATCCGGACAGGATCGGAGAGGTGGCCATACAGTTTATGAAAAGGTGATGAGGATGGGGCGAAAGGAAGGGTTGATCGATGGAGGTGCCATGGTTTCAAGGAAGCCACACCCACATGCTCCACAAGTTGCTTTTCTCGAGCTTCTCTCAAAAGTTTGAATGAATCGCAATTCTGTTAAAAAATGACATCACATTAAAATGACCACGACACAACGATTTTATTTACCTCGAATTCACCAAATCCATCAGGGAATCCCCTGTCGGATCTATCAGTTGATGCCAGGTGGATAAATGTAACCAAGTTTCGTGTGAGGAATGTATTAAACTCGTTCTGCAAATTGGACCCTTGTGCAAAGAGTTGTGAGGGGTCTAAGTGTTCTAATAAGTATTCACGAGCATATCGGAAATGATGAGCATATCGGAGGCGAAAAGGTCTGTGATTTTCTCTCGGAGGAAGAGTTCTCCATTTTCCCATATCTCCTAAAGGGAGAACAGTGGGCAACCCAAACACGTCTCGCTCACAACTATTATTGAAAAATCGGAGGAGTGGCAGTCCGATGAAATACTTGTTCGCATTCCTGATAAAGAATACTTCGTCATTTTCATCACCAATCGGATCCCCCGTTATAAACTCTTTCATCGTTGCATGATAGAATTTGACACTCTGGATATCCTCTGAGGGACTGTCTGGAGAACCTTCTGGAGGACTTTCCGAAGAACGTTCCAAGCCACTCTTTGAAGAAAGATCAACAATTGAGCGAATTGGATCCAATATGGCTAGGACCTCTTCCTCGGCAATTCCTGACAGCTGTGATATAAAAAACACACTTAGTGGCTCGAATGCCGCGTTGATTGTCGCAACCACTTGGCGGTACTTCTGGGCTGTATGTGTACGGACTCCAGATGAACCGACCATATAGGCACGGCGAAGTACACGCAGGTACTCCATGTTGACATCAACAGGGGCATCGATTAGATCACGAAAGTATTTGAACTCGGATCGGAGGGTTGCACCACGACAGGTTTGAAAGGAGACATCCCGGACTCGGATTGAGGCAATAATCGGCAATCCACGACACGCTGAGACAAATGCATCCAATTCTTCTTTTGATGGTTTCCAGGAAGAGTTATCGATGCAATCCCGAAGGCCTTCCTCCACCATGCGGTGGATAGTGTGGGACTTCTCTTCCTCAGTGACGATGTCCACATCTGCACATGGTATGGAAAGACCCCGAGCCCGAGCTCCTTCCCATGCCGACACAACGGATGACTCTGGCCGACAGCTGACCAACACGGCAAATGCGGCTGGCAGCTTATCAAGGATAAGTACTAGCTTCATCAAGGACTTGAGTTCCTCCTGAGCCCCACACTCGTCCAGTCCATCCAAGATGACGACGGGACGCTCCCCATGCAAAGATAAGAGTTTGTGTATGAGATCGACAATCAGAGATCCCATCTGCTCCTCCAGAGTGGAACCTCGGAGGTCCTTCCGTGCCGAGGACCGTCGAAGTTGACTGACAAGAAGACCTTCGTACTCGGCATTAAACAAGGCAAGCTGTCGTGCAAGAGTAGAGGGAAAGTGTTCAATCGAAGCAAGTCCTTCTCCCTTCCGATTTTTGTCCCAGAAGAAGGACGCCGCCAAGCGACCCTGTTTGTTAAGAGCCTCGGCAACACTCATCGATATAGCAGTCTTTCCAGTGCCTGGGGAGCCACAAAGCCAGACAAATCGGTGTTCCCGTTTCTCCAAATGATTGAGAATCGATTCCTGAATTCGGACACGGGTGTTTTCCACGCATTTCGACTTGCTTTTCACCGCAAAGTATTCTGCCTCTGCCTTGTAGAGTTTCGAGAGTTCGCCTAAAATATCATTAAATTCCAAGCAGTGAAATTGGGGGACAACAACGCACGGTCCACCGATGATTGAATTGTGTGGAGGAGATTCAGAGTTGTTGCAGTGGTCTATGGAGTAAACTCAGGCAAGTCATCGGGCAGTCTGAACACCAACAAAACGAACCGTAAAGCGGGAGACAGCATCACAGATACAGGACTTCACAGCGCTTATTTCCTGGGTTATCTCAGTCGCTAAAATTACCCTCTTGGCAAGCTTTTGACGTTTGAGTGCCTCGATTTGCTTTAATTGTTGTTCTAGGGCTCTGTGACCGAGGGTTAAGATTTGGGCGATGAATTGAATGCACATACAAGTTAAATCGATGAATCAGGTCACTTATTTCGAGAGGAACTTGGCCAGTCCACAACTGGAGAGGCCTAAAGATTGTTTCCTGGGCGTTTCGAACTTCATCGTCTAATCCCTTGAGATTCTCGTCATTGTTGTCGATCGTCTGCATGAAAACATGGAGGTTATTTCGTTAGATCGCAAAACCGCAACAACACCTGCGAACCTCGTAAACTTGGAGCCATGTTAGAAGTATACTTGGTATCTGATCGAGGTTTGGAATAGGGACGAACTTAAGGGCAGAGGCGGCAGTTTGGAGGACGAGCCTTGTGGCGGCGATGATTGTTTTCTTTCCGTCACCAGCAGGGACGGTCGGGGATGGCAGATCGGGCGCCGAGGGGTCAGATTGTCTGGGATCGGAGGGGTTCGGTTGGTCGATATGAGTGGGATCGGGGCTGGGACTTCTGCTCAACAGTTTAGCTATAGTGTGCCGAACAGACCACCGCTGCTTCCGGCCTCGAGAATTACCGCCAGTAGTAGTAAGATGCTCAAGACGGGGTCTATCAGATCCGCCGCAATCTGTGCTAGTTATTGCATCGCTTTCAGTTGGAGAAGTAGTGATCTGAAGGCTGGGAACAGAGGTCGAGGGTCGCGAAGGGCCACCGGGAGGCGCAGGAGAGGGTCCTCTGTTAGAAAACTTAACTCGATCAAACATCGTGTATCAGCAATCGCAGAGGGTGTTGTGGGCAGAGAGGAGAGTTGAGCCGAACACGACATATAAGGCAGTACTGTGCTAACCACTGCCAAATCAAGACAACCTATATTCAAGTACCCTTCTGTCGGCGATGGATTATAAACCAAAAGTATTAGGGCCGATAACAGATCGCAAAAAACCCACTTGTGTTTACTACGCCCCCTTGAGTATTTTGCAAGCGATTTTTGACATGGTCTTCGTTGTTGATAGTTATTTGGTTCGGACCACCAAACGCAGCCCCGTCCTGCCACAGCGAACTATCCTATATTCGAATTGATCGCACACACGAACATCAGAGTCTCGTCTGGTATCCACCTTGTCACCCCTCTCGGTTGTTTGCCTCCAGCAATATGCTTCAGACCGGTTACTTCTATTCCAATGCTCTGAGTCATACCAGAACAGCTCTAGATGACTTCCTAGTCCCTCGCATAGGGATCCAAGCTATCAATGGTAGACTTAAGTCTGAATGGATGTCTTTGTGTGACGCCGACACAAGCCTTGACGAAATTTCAGCAGCAATTACTTACCAGGCACCCACTATTTGTCGGCCAGTAATAGCACTGATGTGCAAAATATTTCAATCTTGCGCTTTAAGACTTTATTGCTGTTGGGCTTCTATCTGTAGTGTCCGCTTTTAACTTTAATTGGCGACCTCGCACCTATCCAAGTAGCGGAGGTATCCTATTTCGCTGTCGTTCTAAAACATGGAATACCTAGTCTTCCCGCAGAGATTTATACTTGAAATTTTCTGAGCGGAACCAGCAGGCCGTTCATCGTTGTCATCCCGTTTATTTGACCCTCTGTAAGGCCAAATGCCTTTCACCTTGCCGGCGACGTTCGATGCTCGGAATAGATTCAGACAGTAATAGAAAGTGTCAAACTCTCTCTCCCCCACCAGGATGGAAGCAGAGAGCGGGTTGGGGGAAAGAAGAGGTGACAAATCACCTTTTGAGCGTTGCGGGGACGCTTCCCAGTCGGTGGCTCTGAGGGAAGAAGCGGGAGAGCTAGTACTGACGGACCGTTTAGCGTGTTAAAGAGTAACAACCCGATGGAGCTATGTTGGCGGGTCACGCGGAGACGGTAGAATTCCATGAGCAGATCAGAAGAAACAGAGGGAGTCGATGAAGTACAATTTCTAGGGAGGGGGAGGGACTGACAAGAAGTCCATTTGGTGCGCTCGTGTGATTGCCGTCTGAGTATAGAGTCTGAGATCGAGATACTCTGTACGGATGGGACTTCGAAGTATTAACATCTTCCATTACTTAGTATCGTAGGAGCAATGTTTATCAATGGGCCATCGGTGGATGTTGGATGGGAGGACGCTTGGCTCAACTGATCCATGCAAGAAAATCTTGATGTGGATATATGATCCTTGTTCGGGGTGGTGGCGCTTCGCCGTTTGACTTCCAGAACTTAGAGGATGTTGTTCCCCCTTCACCTGCCGTTCACAACTAACTCGTCATTATTAATATTATAAAATGTCAAGTGCAATGATGTACAAATCGGAGGACAATGTATAACGCAGTGACAGAAAAACGCTCGAGCTAGGCGACTAATCAGTGGAGAAGAAGGAATCACAATGACCGCGACCCATCCTAAACGATTTGCTAATTTCGACGACAATTGGAGTCGTCATCCGATCTTGGAGCAGAAGTCGAGTCGCCCCCTTGCTCGACCAAAGGTGCTAGTGATTCGTGATTTGTAGCGGTCTTCGTGCGTGCTTGGTGGGAGGCCGTAAATTGGGATGCATCTGAGTCACGCATATATCCGGTTCAGAAAGGTGCATGTCTGCTGGATCACCAGGGAGGATTGGGTCGAGGGGATGCAGGAGCAGGGATGAGATATGAGCAAGTGGTGGGGATCTGTGAGATTCATGGATCGGAAACTGACATTCGTAACGCTGTAAGGCGCAATGAACTCGCCCGACTCGGTCGACTGAGTGAAAGCGCTGACTCCATCGAAAGTGCCAAAATACCATACTCCGGAAGGAAATCCAATGCGCACGACGACGAGGAATGGCTAGCAAAGGATTTGGGTGGAAGGATGGAGTGGAAGGGTCAGAAGGAGAGGGGAGGGGCTGAACGTGCGGGTCGTCGGTATAGGCGTCATGTTGCCGACATGTTGTCGTACCAAGGCCTCTGACATCAATGTAGGGGCCGTTGGGGAGAATATCAAGACTCATGGGGACGATACCATGGCTAAGGGTGACGACGACCGCGGACATCCTAGACGACTTTACTAATATCGACGACGATTGGAGCCGTCATCCGGCCTTGGAGTTCCATCCGTGCTGGATGGAAGGCGGTAAGAGAAACGGCGCTCGATTACCATACGAAGGCGCTCTCAGACGGTTGTCGCCACGCACCCTAAGATCACCGCGGCAGAGAATTCTATTCTGCAGTTGGACCATATTAGTAGCTCCTCACTCGTTTCCGGTGCACAATAGCGGGATTCTTCCGGCAACAGGTGAATAGACGCCAAGGTCTTCATGCATGCTTGACCTAGGACCCGTCTACTCTGCGTCCACTAATCCGGAATGATGCATGTCTTTCGCATGTCCTTGAGTGAGTCGGGTGGACACGGGATCAGGAATATATGAGATGTGGGCAAGGGGGTGGACTGTGGGATTCATAATCCAAGAACTGAATTTCGTAACACCATGACGCGCAACCAACTCTGTGAACCGCAAACGTGCGGCGATGAGGGTTGGACAACAAAGTATTTGAGCAGAAGGATGGAATAGAAGCGAGGGAAGGAGGGGAAGCGAGGGAGCTGAACGTGCGGGTCGTTTGAAGCCGATGTAAGCGTTATGTTGTCATACCAAAGCTTGCGTGGACCTCGTCCGACAAATGATCCATTATCCGACACTAAAGTATCAATATACGTAGGGAAGGGGCCATTAATATCGAGATTTACGGGGGTTCTACCATGGATAAGGACTGACGTTTTCCTCGTTATCCTCGGTAACGAGAGTTGCCCCCATGGGAAAATTCAATGGGGCAGGGTAGTTGTGTGCATCGAGCTGGAATCGGGAAATGGTGGGCTGACTCTGGTCGACGTCGATGAGCTCAATGATACCGTTACCAAAAATCGAGGGCTACATAGCGACCATCAATGGGGGAGAAGTGCCGCACATGTCACAACACCATTGCGAACATTGAGATCATTGAATTGGGCTTCGTAATTGGTCGCGTCACCGCCCCACCTGTCAACCTTCTTTGGCAACTTTGCTTCCATGACCGGTCAGACATTGAGTAAATTCTCACTCAACGGGATTCGCGTGTCCAGAATAATCGCCAGAAATGGCGAAGACCCGGACAGGATCAGAGAGATGACCCTACAGTTCGTAAAAAGCTGATGAGGATGGGGTGAAAGCAAACAACGGTTTGGTAGTTGAAGATGACTGTTCCGAAATTGGAATTATGCGCGATTCTTCTTTTGAGCTTCTCTTGGAGCTCGAATGAATTGCAATTCTATAAGAAAATGACATCAGCGTTAAAGCACTTATGCGCGATATCACCCACATGATGTAAATGAACGTTCGTCTCCTAAAATGGGAGTAGCGGGCATCCCAAATACATCTGCAGTCCCATTTGAAAAAGAATAGTACTCCGTCGTTTTCACAACCAATTGGATTCCCCGTTATGAATCCCTTCACCGCTGTGTGTGATAGGATGTGACGCACTTCGTGCTCACCGAAGAATTTCCTGGGGTTGAACGATCCGAGTGGCGATAGGACCTAATTGGTTCCCATGTTGCTAGGACCTAACTCCTCAGTTGTTCCTACGTTATTTCTTGTATAGCAATCCCTGCGCGCCGAAGCCATGGTTCTCACCGCAGCTTTCACACCCGGTGGAACTTCCTCCTGGACGTCCACTGTTCCTCCAACTCCTTTACTACCTTTATGGACCGCGTCTTCACGCCAATCCTCATTTGCGCCACCTCAGCTAGTACCCAAACCACTCTCCACCTCCGCATATACCAGGTGACACGAAGTCGCCAGTCCCCCAGCGGTCCAGTGGTGCAGATCTGATTGTTCTTGTGTGAGTCCCGAGCCAAGTGTCTCCACACTGAGCGCGAGGAGGCCTACGCAAAAGGACACGAGGTGTTCGAATTGGTGGTGGGGACGTCCCGCTTCCATGGCAGTGACGTAGAGGAGATCACGAGTCAGAGAGGAAAAGCATATTGTTTATAACGCCTTCGACGGATTTGAGATTTAAATAGCAGTTTAAGGGTCTTTTATGAAGGGTTGTAAACAACGGAAGGCTTACACACATGTCCAGAAGTCGCTTTTGGGACTTGACAGAGAGGAGGCAACCTTTCAGCAGATATTCGTACTGAAATTGGAAGGCGCCTCAATAAATCAGAGATGCCCACAGTGGGAAGTAACCCCGGCAGATGGTGTAGGGTTGCCCCGGTACCAGCCCTGCTAGGTAGCCCCATTACCATTTGACGGGGCCAACCATCAGATTTCGAGTGCCGGGACCTCCTATCAGATATGCGTAGTCTGACGGGGCCATCCTGACGGGGTACCCCGGAAATACTGACAGGGTGCCCTGGAAGTTATTGATAGGTAACCCCGCCTGTTTTAATAGTAAATCATAACTAATCAGGGCTAACAACTGCTGGTAGTGGGCAACGGCCACAAAGGGCCCATGTGAAATTTGCCGCATGCGCGCGACGCGTGACCCGCGTTCTCGTACATACAAAGGAAGAGCAGGAAAATTACTAGAACTGATGACAGCCACAACTGAAAGCGCTAACAACTAAAACAGCAAACAGAAGCTAATGTACAGAGGTGAAATACAATGAAGAGAAAGTGAACTACAATGAAGAGAAAGAGTAACAGACGATGTGAAAAAATTCGACAAGAAGAGATGGAGGAGGAAGAGATGGAGGAGTATCGGGGAGGAGGAGGGAGACAAGAAAATATAAGCTAGGGGCTGGAGCAGATGGGAATGTAGTCGAGAATCGCGGTATTGGCAGCAGCAAATCCGGGATAGAGTAATATGCAGGTGGCAGCAGCGGCAGCGGGTCAAAAGCGTGAGCCCGGAAAGGCAAGCGGCAAATTGGATCTCACTCACCAGGGGAGCGCGAGATACCAGGCGATAGGGAGAGGGGAAAAGGGATCCGTCAGGGCCCCTTTATAGGCACGACCTAGGTAGTATGAAACCTAAGGTAGTATGGAACCTCTCCTCAACAGCGAAAATTCAGTACGTACCTCCACTGAATGGTCCGCTTCGCGCATCTGCGCCGAAAACATTCAGCGTACGACTGAGGCAGCGTGATTTGACCCATTCAGGCTAAGTTGCGCGATAAATCATGGGAAAACCGCGATCGGTGAGAGAAGGCATGTGAATGCCAAAGCGGTCGCGACTGGGCGCAGTCAGGTTTCCCAGCCAGTGGCAAACAAGGGCGGAAACCTGAGGTCAGCTGGGGGCAGACTGCTAACCCGTGATTAGTCTCGTGAAATGAAGACATTAAACAACAACTAATCAGGGCTAACAACTGCTGGTAGTGGGCAACGGCCACAAAGGGCCCATGTGAAATTTGCCGCATGCGCGCGACGCGTGACCCGTGTCCTTTCAATCCAACGATGGTGGAGGTGAGGGCGGATGGTGGTGGAGGAGATGATGATGAAGCGCGTGCGTGAAAATCGAGTGAAGGCAGGTGGCCAGTTGATCAGAAGGCAGTGCCATCGAAGGCTGATACTCCCGTGAGAGTACCTTGGATTAAGATTGGGTTTTGCCGCACATAGATCAAGAAAGCATCCGAAGACCAGCGCCCGATGGCTTGGATGCGGGTCAATGGAGTTCCGGCCAGTGCCAACGCAGTGGCCCCACCCGATCGCAGCGAATGGCCACTAACATTGTCGTTAGGAAAGATCGATTGAAGGCGCAATATGAACCAAGAACGTGTTGGCACTGTTCCTTTGCTCGTCAGCCAAAGCTCAGGTAGGTGAGGAAACCGCTGATCGCGCGAAACCAAATACTTAGCGAACACCACTAACGGGTCCAATCGATTTCTACGGCTTTCCAACACGATCTGAGACCCTTCAAACAGACGATCCGCTTTGTGCATTGGTAACGTGAATGAGATGTGCGGGCGCGGGAGTTTGTTAAAATGAACACTGCGACGGGAAATGGTTTTTCGAAAATTGCGCAGCATGGAGGAATCGGGATCCACCAATTCTCCTAACCTCATCAAGCAATGCCAGCCCGTGAACACCATCGTGAGGAACAATATGTCGTCATGAGAAGGAGGGGTGGGCAAGCTACTTTGGATGCTAATGAGGTCCTCTTCTGTGAGGGCCCTCTTCCGTCTGGTGGGTGTATTGTGCAGTTTCATGCATCCGTTGAGGCAACGCGCGATAAAAGGAGAGTTTCTGATTGTTCGAACCTCAGGCCAGGAACCTTCCAACTCTGCACAAATGCCTGAAAGGTAAGACTTTACCGATGAAGGCTGGATATAATGGCACATATAGACAATGAAGAAACTCAGCGTGTTTTCAGTGGGCTTTATCGGAAATTCGTGGGTGTCGCAAAAAACGACATAAGACATGAAAGCAGAAGAGTAAGCCTTGCGAGTACTCCGTTCAAGGGAGGCACCTAAAGCACGAGCGCGCTCTCCCATCAGACGCTCCATCGACCATCTCTCACGGACAGGATGTGTGGTCGAGGAGCTCCCCTGGGAATTCATACCTTGACTGCCCCCGACATGTCCAGCGGAGGCGTGAAGTGTTTAATTAAGAGTCCAGGCATATGCGAACGTGCGATGGCGAAGGCCCGTCGTGAAAGTGCATCGGCAATGACGTTTTTCTTTCCGTCAATATGGAAGACGCGCAAGTCGATCTTTGACTCCAAGCGAATTTTGACCGCTGTCATAATGATCGGGTTGTACACTTCCAAGGCACGCAAAGTGTTGAAAATTGCGAAAGATGTGGTAGAATCAGTGTGAATTGCCAGGCGTTTTGGAGGGGGGTTAAGGGAGGCCGCCCATTCTAGAGCAGCAAGCACAGTGACCGCTTCGTTGAAGAAGATGTTGAATGTTCGCTCTTGATCAACAATGGGATCAGCAATATAGGCAGTTTTGTGGGCAGGGGAAAAGAAAGCCAAACCCATTGCCGAAGCGTCCCCCAAATCTGGAAGTCCGCATCTTCAGCGCCCCACTCCTCAGTGTCCAACATTCGGACCCCTCCAGAGATTCCACCTGATCTGCAAACCAAAGTAAGTCGTTCCTTGCGAGCTTGTTAATATAAATCAGTGCGCTCATAAATTTCCTGCCCGCGACCTTGTTATATGAGGAGTTCAGCGCTGGTTTGAGGAGTGGGAAAACATTGAGGGCCCAGTTCGCATATCCAAGGATTCGCAGCCAAGATCGGAGGGATTGTTGCCGCGGGGTAGGAGGATTGTTGACAAAGTCGCGAATTGCTGTCACCAGACTTGCCTTTGCGTCTCTTGGCATCCGAATGGTCATTGCTGGTAGATCAACTTCAAAACCAATGATTTCCAAGACTTCGCCATACTGTTGCTTATGGTCCTCATGAGGAACTCCGATGATGTCCAAAAGTCGGAGGAACTCGGCCTGAGGTGTAGGTATACTCCGGCTGTAAGGCGCGTAAAAAGTGAGCGAAGAGGAGAAACTGGCAGAGAAGGCATTGTCGACGTAGTGCAATAAATTCGTGATTCCTCTATCGTGAATTCCGATCCAGCAGACCAGGCCAAAGAACAAGCACCACAAACGTCCAGATGCGCGATTCCCGAACACGGCACACCTGTCCACATGATACTGTCCATCAATCAGTGTGGCCTGACGCACCTGCCAACGCGGGTGCATTGGAAGCCGTCGATAAGCCTGAGAAGCATCAGATTTCCACACATAGGAAGGTCTTTTACCACCATTGATTGCCATCTGTGCCCGGATGTTTGTTGCTAAATCTGTGAGGTTGTCAAGCTTAACGAAACCCCCCTCTGCTGGGATGAGAGAATTGAGGGACTTCGATCCTGCGCTATGGTCGTTCACTAATCGGAGCTTTGAAGATCCTTTCTTCGGGACGGTAAAGACTGGCTGTGCTGTCATTCCTGGTAAGAGAGAAGCGCCGAAAGACTCGGAGTACCGCCCCAATAGCATCTCAGCATCACGTTGTCGGCGAAGAAAATCGACTGATTCATCATCCAGGCTTGGTAAACCTGAAGGACGTGCAACGATACCCCAGGTTGCAACTTGGGATCGTCGGTATCTGCAAACGGCCAGAAACCATGGCGTAACCCATGGCACATCGAATCCACAAGTGCGCGGTTTGGATGATTCCTTAACAAGCTCTCGAAGGGGTCAGCATTTATTGGCGTGACAATTTTAAACAAGTGTGGGTGCTTAGCAATTGTCTGAGTAATATCCTTGTATTTGTAATCACTGTCAGGCACGCGTGGGATTGGGAGAGCGCTCTCGGTGTAAGTTGCTGATGGCGTACGTCCACAGTCATTGCGCCCAAAAATAAAGCGCATGTGTCGAGGTCGCCTACCCGCATGTTCCAGTAGTGGTTCGGTTTCTTCAGGCAGTCGTCTTTTGAGCCGAGTCTTTTGTACATTGGAAGCGTGGGTGATTCCCGTTGCAGTCCTGGCAGACGTGCCTGAATTTGCATGGGTTGAAAGAGCACCCCTTTTTTGTGTTGAATTCTCCACAGATAGGGATTGTACCCAGGCTTCTGCCTTGTTTACCTTTTCCCTTTCCTGGAGCAGAGTGTGCATTGTGTGCTGATCCTCCGCTGTTGAGATGTTTGAAAGCGATGTCACCAAAGAGGTGGATATCGGCGAAGCAGAGCTGGTGTCGTTCTTGGACAAACTTGCGGACAGCGGAGTCGTATCTGATGACGCCAAGGGTGTTGTTGCAGACATTAAACTTGTCCAGCATGTGTGCATAGTAGATGTCGAGTTCGTCCCATCGGTGTGGGTAGGCGTAGAGAAGTGCACACTTATATTTCTGGTAACCCAAAATCCATTCGCCTTCCGTCTGAATTTTCGCTTTCCCCTTGGAATGTCCTCTGTTAAGCGTGAGCTCGGCCCCACTTCCAAGGTCGATAGCCTCGTGATACTGGGGAGCGACGGCGTTGTGGTCTTCGACAATGGTGTTGAGGTCAATGTGTCTATCGCATACGAGGTCACGCCATTGGCTGTAGGGGAAGGGTGGTGAGCGTCCTCGTGCAAGGAGGCTCCGGACGGTGGCCTTAGCATCGAGGCTGTAGATATTGCGTAGCTGCAGGGTTTTCTGTGGGGTGGTGAGCAAGGAGTTAGTGTCCCAAGGTCTGTTACCTCCTGGGAGGTCCCAGTTCCAGGCAAAGCGGGGGTCGTGGTCGTCATCAACCTCTCGAAGCCGCTTCGCCCCTCCTCGTGCATCATCCCCGTCATCATCTCGCTGCCGCCGACCCCGTGAGACTGCATGGGTTCCCCCAGAAAGATCGGCTGTATCAACAACTCGGTCGAGGGGGCGATCGATTGGATTTGGCTGAGAGCTAACGGGTCCCCGATCAGGGAGTGCATGGCTCCAGGTTCCACGGACGATTGCCTCTTCTCTAGATTCAGCCATCTGGTCGAAACGGGCAACATACCGGTCGAAGAGTTCATTAGTTTGCTCTCGGGTAAGTTCTGTGGCGCCATCGAGGAGACGGCAGAGTCCTCGGCAGGCATCATACAAACTGATGGATCGATTGGAGTAGCCTGAGACAAGGTTGTCGAGTTGATCGAGAAGGAGGCCGTTGCCAGGTGCGGATGTAACCTGTTCAAGGTCGATCCCTCCAAAGACCGAGTCTCTAGTGGCTGCAGTTGTATCATGGGCCTCGGCTGAGACATGCTGCGAGTCTCGAGTATCTGCGGCGGCGTTTTGTGCGTCGGTTGAGACATGCTGCGACATACCAGTGATCACAAGATGTTCGAAGAGTACAGACAAGAAAATATAAGCTAGGGGCTGGAGCAGATGGGAATGTAGTCGAGAATCGCGGTATTGGCAGCAGCAAATCCGGGATAGAGTAATATGCAGGTGGCAGCAGCGGCAGCGGGTCAAAAGCGTGAGCCCGGAAAGGCAAGTGGCAAATTGGATCTCACTCACCAGGGGAGCGCGAGATACCAGGCGATAGGGAGAGGGGAAAAGGGATCCGTCAGGGCCCCTTTATAGGCACGACCTAGGTAGTATGAAACCTAAGGTAGTATGGAACCTCTCCTCAACAGCGAAAATTCAGTACGTACCTCCACTGAATGGTCCGCTTCGCGCATCTGCGCCGAAAACATTCAGCGTACGACTGAGGCAGCGTGATTTGACCTGTTCAGGCTAAGTTGCGCGATAAATCATGGGAAAACCGCGATCGGTGAGAGAAGGCATGTGAATGCCAAAGCGGTCGCGACTGGGTGCAGTCAGGTTTCCCAGCCAGTGGCAAACAAGGGCGGAAACCTGAGGTCAGCTGGGGGCAGACTGCTAACCCGTGATTAGTCTCGTGAAATGAAGACATTAAACAACAATATATTCATTTGGTATATAGCAATACACACATACACTGGCGCTTGTCATCGCGAGTGTCGGAGAAAATAATACCCCAAGGCTATACTGAGGGTGCAGAGAAAACCTCGCGCTAAACCTCGCGCTTGAACACACCTTTGCAGGGATAACCCCTCGGGGTCTGTGGGGCCGGCGTAGGTCCCAAGAGCATGTCGGTTTCGAAGATAGGATGACAATAATCAGTGGGGTAAATATGGCAGGTAGATCGCAAAGTAAATGATGAGGTGAATGGTGGGGTGAACGGTGGGGAACACATAGTTTGCTCATCTGTGAAACCCGACCCGCGGGGTTCCAGCACTCTTTGTACCTCACCAACGGGAGTTCGCCTTTTAGCCGCGGAGGAAGCTATTGTCTTCCAATTCCGGTCACTTTTGGGAAGTTTGATTGTTTCCTGGAGTAGAAAGTTAGCAAGGAAATGGGAAGGGGAGGAAAGTTAAGAGCGTAGTAGTAGGCACACTTTGTGGTTAGGCACCAGTGCAGGCTCTGCAACAGCACATTGGGCAATGCCATGATAACACATCTGGTCTGCGTCCTTCCATGTCGGTTGGCCCAAAATCTTGGCATCAATGAGTGAAGAACACGTCAAAATGCGTGGGAACGCGTCCAATTGTACAAGCCTGACTATTGGAATGGAAGCGTGCACGGTGCAACAGAGCATGGGCCCACAGTGTCGGACTCAAGAATTGAAGAGATGAATAGCAGACACAGATATGGCTCCCACCGAAGGGTGCAATGCAGGCTTGATCGCTGTCAGAGTCCGCGCGTCAGTTCGCGCGTAAGAATCTCCCTGGGAAACTAGTCGTTGTAAAAGCTGGGGGGCCAACCCAGCTGGCGATAAGGCCTTATATACATGAGTTCCGCAACTCACAAGAGCGCGGCTACATTGGGAACACATGGTAGCCGATAGAGAAGCGACATGAAATAGGAGAATAGATCATGCGGATAAGGGGGCGATAACGGGTGAGGGATGACGCGATAGCGGAAATAGCGCATTGAATACAGCCTGCGTTCTAACTACGGCAAATCACACGCAGATATCGGCTTACGGGTACTCAACCTATCCGGATAGGGGTCCGGGCCGGCCGGATAACCGTCCGTGCCCTGACAATCGCCAAGATCGGATGAGCTGATTGCGCAAGATCGCTCAACCTGGATTGGCAATAGTAAGCATTGAAGCACGTATTAGGATGCAGAAAACAGAGGGCCAGCCAAGAAAAACATGGCTGCGCATATTACGGATATCCAGCATTGATTGGATGAGTGTGGGGGGAACACAGAGATAAGAGAGATGACAGGTGAGACGAAGTTCCAAAAGTAAATGGCAACTCCTGAACCGACAAGGATGAGGAAAGGAACCCAAAACCGACATTAGCGCCCCGCGCTTCCACTCTTCCCAATGGTCTCCTTGCTCCCAACAATCACATGCCTACGGTAGCCCTGGTACTCCACTCGACTGAGCAGCATTTCGAAGAAAATGATAAGTATTTTAATGTGATGGTAAAACCCAGTACAATCTGACGGGGAACTTCCCACACCTGGACGGACTTGAAAAGGGAGGACATGGAACTCAGCGATGATGAGAATGAGGGATTGGAATCCTCTAAGTTAATGTGCGAAATTGTCTTTTGGTATCAATATGTAAGTCAGAATCCAGATGCTAGGTAGCCCCGGTACTACACACGACTGAGCATTTCCAAAAAGCTGATAGGGACTCCCGGCATTTTCGATTAGGTGATGGTACAACCCAGTACAATCTGATGGGGGGACTTCCCACAGTGTGCCACTATGGGATGAGCTTTATTTAGAGGCGATAGAATGGTATATGAGCGGAATCAGAAGTCTTCAACTCATCCTCGTTTGGGTAAGAGGAAAGCGGATTCGAGGGCTTGTGCGAATTTGGTCGAAGTCAAGTGTCAGTCGCGGACCTGGCGATCCGGTCATTGTTGACCACGATGTTTCTGAATTGAGATGACTGTAACAAGTCGCGCGCGGTCTCGGCAACATCTCGACACCCATCATCCACGACGGTTGATCGCTTGATTATAGGCCACATCTCCGTCGAGTTTGTGCTTGGTGCATCTTTTACATTAATGTGTCAGCCACACACTCGGCATTCCAGCACAAATTTAGGACGACGAAATTTATCTTAAAAGCGCTTGTTCCGAGGCCACAAGAGCCCCGCGCGCGCGCACTTTTCCGATTGCTAGCCAACAGCTAGCTCTGTGACAGGAACCAAATATAGAAGCACTGTGGTTATCAATCTTTCCCAACGGGCGTGGCCCTCGTCCGTGGGTTGGTTGATTATGTCCGTCCAAGAGAAAGGCATCGTTACTATTAAATATGGCAGTACGATAGACAGTCGATTGGCCATTCTCTAGATCCCGGACGTTGCAATGTTCTTGGCAATTTCTGGCAGCAGCGAAAACGGGCTCAAAAGTAGTGCATCCACATTTGGTGTGCAGTACCCAAGGCGAATCAGCCTTCAAGCGGGGCGAGAGGGCGTGGTCTCCTCTTACATCCCGCGGTCACGAGCCAGGGCGGTTCCTTCAACTCATGAGGTTAGTGATCTGCCAGAAGGGAATTGGGCATCGGGCAAGAACAGTCTCAGCGATGCGCGTGAGATTGTGCCTGCATGTTAGGCAGGTGAAAGTTGTGTTTAGGATGGTGGGTATATCCCCAGCATTACCCGCTGTGTAGGGTAACGACGACCCATCCGTGGTCAACACACTTGCAGGCGCGCTAGCTTCATTGGGTACCAATGATGTAAACAGTCCCGTTGGGAGCAACCGAAATACCGAGGGCGGTTAAAACGATATTGTCGCAGTAAAATGCAACTCCTAGAGCAATGTACTCAAAGCCGATTGGATGTGTCGGTCGAACGGTTGGAACCACAAAAGTTGAGGTGACATAATCGTGGCTAGTCTACAAGTGCAAGCGCACGGTCGAACGGTCAGAACTGAGCTGCGCATAGATGCGTACTCAAGCAAAATGCTTACATCGTCGAGAACTGCACCAACAAATGCAAGTCCAATGCTGTTATCATTCCTACGATCGAAGCCAGGCTTGGCTAGACGTTTGACCACCCAAGGGAAGTTGTGCAGGGCAGAACACGATGACGCACAGCCAACTCTGTAAGTCGGGAGAAAACCCAAACGTGCGGTGGCTAACAAAGGATTGAGCGGAAGGATGTAAGCGATGGAAGCGATGGAAGCGAGGGAGCAGAACCTGCGGGTCGTTTGAAGCCGATGTAAGCGTTGACGTTATGTTGTCACACCAAAGCTTGCGTGGAACCCGTCCGACAAATGATCCATTGTCCGACTGCACTAAAGTATCAATATACGTAGGGAAGGGGCGATTGATACCGAGATTTACGGGGGTGCTACCATGGCTAAGGACTGGCATTTTCCTCGTTATCCTCAGTAACGACAGTTGCTACCATGCATGGGAAAATTCAATGGGGCAGGGTAGTTGGGTGGATCGAGCTGGAATCGGGAAATGGTGCGTTGGTCGATGTCGATGAGCTCGATGATACCGTTACCAAAACCGAGGGCTACATAACGACCATAGGGGGAGAAGTGCCACTGTATGATGTCACAACACATTGAATTGGGCTTCGTAATTGGCCGCGTCACCATCCCATCTGTCAATCTTCTTTGGCAACTTTGCTTCCATGACCGTTCGGGCATTGAGTAAATTCTCACTCAACGGGATTTGCGTGTCCAGAATAATCACCAGAAATGGCGAGTACTCGGACAGGATCAGAGAGATGACCGTACAGTTCGTAAAAAGCTGATGAGGATGGGGTGAAAGCAAACAACGGTTTGGTAGTTGAAGATGACTGTTCCTAAATTGGAATTATGCGCGATTCATCTTGAGCTTCTCTCGGAGCTCGAATTAATTGCAATTCTATCAGAAAATGACATCAGCATCGTCTTATGCTGGATATCACCCACATGATGTTCATCTCCTAAAATGGGAGTAGCGGGCATCCCAAATTCTGGCTCATTATTGTTGACAACTCGATAGAACGGCAGTCCGAGGAAGTCGTTTTCACAACCAGTTGGATACCCTCAGCATTATGAATCCCTTCACCGCTGTGTGTGATAGAATGTGACGCACCTCGCGTTACTGTCCTCGAGTCTTTATAACCTTCGCTCAAGCGCTGATGCGGTATTTGCGGCAGCTGCTGCAAAGATCGTAGGGCGGCGTATAGCCAATTCACGAATTAGGTACTAACGGAGTGATTACTCGGAAATCAAGTATATCAGCGAACCCAGATATCTATCATATGTTTCCAAAGCCCTTTCCAGTCGGGCTTCCCAGTAGATTGTCCCTAGCGACGAGTTCTAGATTACCGCACCCACTTCGCAGTAACTGCGCACTCCGTGCTGCATAAACACAATTCGCGCAGCGCTTGCACTGGTTTACGTAACTAGTCGACCAGAGCAGTCGATCGGGGGAGGTAGGAGTCGAGATAACGTCAGTTCGGGCCCAGCCTGGCGGCAGTGACGCATAAACAGTCTTTTTAGTACCAAGATGGTATATCCACTGCACGACCAAAGGCAGTCAGTCAGACGATGGACTAGGCCAGTCGGAGTCGGAGCTACCTACCAAGGGTGTGAGCTAGTTTGTTCAAATTTGTGAAGCGAAGAATTGAACAGCAACAAGCCCACTGAAATTGTGGATCCTACAGAGGGTAGAGCCCAATACTAAAGGCGCAGGAAATAGAGCCTAGGAATGACCTGCTTGTCTTCGGCGCCTTTTATATAGTCTAACATCTTTGTTTCGCTGTTTCACTGAGGCGATCGGTTGGGAGCAAGCACAAGAACGTTTAGTTACGCGTTCTCACGGCGCTAAAGGGGCCAGCTACTACAGGAAACCCCCTGAATGGCCACATTAGTGGATCCCGTCGATGAGCCGAAGCGGTTGTGTCTTTCATCATTGGTTCGCCACTGGCATTTCACTCGCGCCATGTTCAATCGTGGCACGTACTGCATGACAATGCGCGATGTTTGGAGACCACATTGAGGCAGCTCCTTGAGACATCGGGCACTTAGCTAAGGCATTGGTATATGGCAAGAAGTTAGGGAACCTCCTCGAGTCCTTGACATGTTGGAAACCAAGCCCAAGAGCCATGTATATACGGTTGTTTGTGTCGTAGTCTAAATTTGAGAAGTCTCTTACGGATATTCAACGGATTCTACATAGCCAAGTGCCCCTCCTGGATGTACTGGGTGACAAGTAAAAGATACAAGGGTTCTTCTAGGATGTGAGCCGTGCCCATAGCTGGCAACCTCCGAATGAATTGGCAGGTGGTTGCACAATGGAAATAGGAAATTGACACCTGTCGCTGAACGACTCGCATGGTTGTCGTACCCCGTTCCTTTTGAGAGCTTTCCGCAACAGCAGCCGACCTATTGTTTCCGCGATGGTTATCGACGCGCCTTTTGGCGCAAAAGGATCAGTATGTCCCTCACCCTTCGTATGTCGGTTTCGAGGGCTGGTATACTAGGATACAAGACGAATCGGCGGGACTCTCCATCATCCTGATTTTTTGCTCTCTTGGAGACTCGACGCCATCAGGTACTCCTCGGAAGCACTATTTCCATTTCTCAGTAACGCCTATTGGTGACTCGTCTACTATCGAGCCGGTCGAGTTCCACTTATTCCCTGATGACCTTCAACATATCGTGGACTCCCTGCCCGATCCAGAGACAGGTTTGCAATCATATACTTTGAACATACCTAATATTGGAAGCTTCACTGTGGAGCCAAAGACCCAACGTTATAATCTCACCGTCCCATGTGGAGAAAGCTCTTCCGAGCACTGGAAAGTGTCCATAAACATAACGGATCGTGTTCCATTATCGCAGGAGCACCCTCTACTGAGTACTCCGCACAGCATGACCCTTTCAAGACTGGAAACTTTACTTCCATTGCATTGGGCAATTTTCTCAACCGGATCAAAGGCAGATTACGACGTGAAGCATATCGGCACCGATGGGGTGGCACATATGGAAAAGAACTGGGGCGCATTGTTTCCAACTGGCTGGACATGGCACGTCGCTACGTTGTGCTTCACCACCCTCTTCTCAATTCGAGCTTTTTTTTGTGTTGTAGGTGTCAGGCATTTGGCGCATCCTCGCACGATCCCACGCAGACATTCGGTGACCATCGAGACAATGCGACGAGAGATTGTGTTGCCATTGCGGGTGGTGTCCTCGCTTTGGGTCAAAAGGCATATCTCATCCATTACAAGGATTCAGGCGACGCCTGGCGCCCTCGTTATGAACGTTCGATACATCCAAGTTATTCAGCGAAAGATCATGAAAGTACTGAAAATTCTGGTCCTAATGACAAGCAGCATATCAACTGGACCTTCCGCCCACTATGGACTCTGATTCTAGCACTCCCGTATCCCGTTGGTATCCCACGATTCAAGATATCGCGGAAGGATCCAATGGCAAAAAAGCCCTCATTGTTCAATACTTTTGACTCCTCTGCTGGCCGTGGGTCAACATTGACGTTTAATTTCTCCGTCTTCGGCCTCCCTGCGTTATCCCTCATGATCCTTTATGCCGTCATCCAGTTCTCCCCGTTTGGATCCATGCATGAAACGTTCACATACGATGAACGCTCAGGATTCGGACGATTGCAGCTTAGCGCCGCAACCCTTAACAGACGGATCCTAATCGATGCACAGTCAGAGTCGCGACCTGCCACTCTCAATTCACAAGTACAGCCTAGGTGGCTTGCGCTGCATTGCCCGATGCCTGGTGGGCATGCCACACGTGAGTACGAGTCATTCACAGCAAGGGCAACGATAAGAGCCTACAGGCGCCAGTGGAGATTTGGCTGGCCACGATGGGTCGAAATCAGGAACGTCGAGTTTGAACACGCGGCATTGGAGTTTGGAGGATTGTATGCTGCGATAGCATGATCAGCGCCTCAATAAATCAAAGACGCCAATATGAGACGAGTTTATTATGACTTGCGGAAAACTGTGCCCTTCCAGTTGCATATATTGGACCCTGGCTGCTCACCTTCTATAACTTTATTCTAAATTGTGCAGATGTGTTATTCCGTATGCGGGGGTCGGATGGAGTATATGGCTCAATGGCCACCCCAGGTTGATGCTGATACATCGAGATCACAATAAACAGTTGGATAAAACGTTGCTCTTTCCTGGCGTGCATGATTCTGGGATGAAGTCATCGAGAACTGCTACCGTGGGTGGAGGGTTTAAGGATACTTATCTGCGCACTGGTCTTGGGATTAATCTGGATGCGACACAAATTCTGCAGCTTTCGCTGGCCACAGGTTTCAGCGCGATCAAGCCGAGGTGGAATGAGGTACTCTTCGAGCCTCATAAGTCCATGGGCTAAGTAAGGATGGGGTTGCCCATACATTGGCTTTATTTACGCGATGTAAAAAAATCGTCCACTTTTGTCCTTATATCTTGTAGCACTAAACGCTCATACACCCGCATATCTAGCATTTATACAACGTTGGTTCTTTGTCACATTATGGATGAACGCCGGGCAAAACGGTGGAAATTGGCAAAAGAAATACCGATTTTTTTAATACGTTCAAAGTGATCCGTTTCGGCCAAGCCTTTTAGCGGTGCAGGTTGGCTCAAATGGACAGATAGATAGATACCTTCATTCTTCTGATGCAGAGTGAAAGTGAATTAAGGAACTATGGAAAGCGCGAAATCAAAAAGTCTATGATTGCAAACGCTGATGAGCATTCATGTTGTCCAACCCGGGACTAAACGACAGTGCAAGGAAGGAATGGTCATAGATCCGTTGAAGTCTCCAAGCCCGTATTTATACACACTGCACCATAGGGAAAGGGAACCTCGTCCGAGGGAAGTCCAGAAAGATGGAAGGGCGACCTAGCGAAACTTCGCAATTCCCCCTCTGATAGTGGACAGAACACGGAAGGTAAATAGGAAGATATTGCAATTGACCACAAATATCCTAAAGGACCTGACTAAGATCAACGACAATTGGAGCTGTCTGTCGGCCTTGGGAGAGAATTCGAGTCCCATCTTTGCTGGACCGAGGGCTGTACAGATAGGTAGGATCAGATGGCACTCGTTCACCATACCAAACGCCTGAACCTTCGGCACCAGAAAAGACAACTGGGCAATACTCCTTGGGAATAATGAATTCTAATTTGCCATCGAAGAACACTGGTAGCCCAGCGGGGCCAACAGTTCCGAAAAGCGGGGTTCTTCCGGCAGCGGATGAATGGACTTCAAACCTCCTATCCCCACGTTGCAAGACAACATAAAATGGGCACTTGATCCAGGATTCGTCCAAGTTATGCCCTGCGTGTGTTTTGGGATGATGTATATCTGCTGCTTCACCTTCTGTCAAGGAAAGGGTAGGCTGAGTGGATACAGGATCAGGGATGCGATAAGAGCGGGCGAGGGGAACAGCAGGATTCATGATCCAAAATTCGAAATCTGTCACACGATAACTCGCAATGAGCTCACCCGAACCTGTCGACCAGGTGAAAGCACTGAGGCCATCGAAAGCGCCGATATAATGTGCTCCCGGAGAAAACCCAAGCGTGCGACGGTGAGGAATCACTGGGGATGCAGAGGACCTAGTAGAAGACTTGGAGGCTAAGATAGGAGGGTTGGAAGTTGGAGTGAAATTATTGGAAGAAGGAGGTGCAAGGTGCTGCATGTGCAGGTCACCCGAAATGGATATGAGAGTCATGCTGTCGTACCAAGATCTATCAGTGTTCTGTGGAACCCGTATGATAAATAATCCATTATCTGATACTCGAGTTACAGCAGGAAGAGGATTGTTGGGAAGAGTACCAATATTAACAGGGGCCATATCGTGGCTAAGGATGGTGACGTTCCCCTCATTGTCCTCGACAGCAACTCGGTGGCTGCCATGGACAAATTCGATCCAGACTGGATGGTTGGATCGATCGAGCTGGAATCGGGAAATCGTGCACTGATGGTCAATATTGGCAAGCTCGATGACACCGCTACCAAAACCAAGAGCTACATGGTGACCATCAAGGGAGAGCGCCGCACATGTCACGATACCGTTACGAACATCACGGTCATTGAATTGGGCATCATAATCAATCTCAACATCCTCACTGTCCTTTGGCAAATTAGGTAGCTTCGCCTCCATGACCATTCGAGCATTGAGTAGATCCTCACTCAATGGGATTCTGTGCCCGGAAAACTCGCCGGAAATGGTGAAGATCCGGACGGGATCAGAGAGGTGGCCATACAGTTTGTACAAGGGTGATGAGGATGGGGTGAAAGGAAGGGTTACTCGATAGAGGTGCCATGGTGCCAGGGAAGTCACATTCATATACTTCACAAATTGCTTTTCTCGAGCTTCTCTTAAAAGTTTGAATGAATCGTGTTAGAACTTGCGGATTCGGACGACTCCGGAGTGGAATCGGAGACTTAGCATGGAAGGACCTTGGCCTCAGCGACTCAGGTGGAGCGCTGTGCCATTGCTGGTTGTCCTGGGGGTCCCTAATTTCGGATCTAGCAGAGGGAAAGTCTCTTGGGGGAATTCATGTCGATTTTGGACTGAAACCAAGACGAGTATGTACAAGCGCCGATATATATAATGGAAGGGCAAAAGCACAAAGAGAACAAAGGGTGACCGAATCGGAACGAAGACGTCTGAACGGGAACAAAGGGTAGAGGGAGCGGAGCGGTGACGAAGGTCATAGGGCAAGACCTGTGATACGTCCGAAAGGAGGTAGAGAGGGCGAGGCCCAGAGGGGCAGGAGGATGAGGGGAAGTGGGGATGATGACTAACTGGCTAGAATAGAAAGAAGCAGTAGTCCAAATAGGGATGAAGGGAAAACGCGAGAAATACATTACAGGCGGCGAGAGCGCCGAAGGCGGTCTGCGAAGCTCGGGGGTTGCAGAGCTTACGGAGGTTACGGAGGCGGGGTTGGAAGTCCGAGGAATATTGGCAATGGTGTTTACGTAGTATGAGGTCACCAATGCAATGGACTAAGGCCGAGGTGGAGTCAAAGTCCGAGGTAGGGACTATGACGGAGGCTCGGAGTAAGGTACGAGCGGTGTCCGAGTGCGAAGTACGGAACAACGGTAGAAGGTCGTAACTTGGCGGAAGGGTGGCGGAGGAGTAACGGAGGGAGGAGAGAGTGGCGGAAAGGAGAGTAGTCAGGTCCGAAGGTGAGTATCGGAGCGGATGGGGGAAGCGTAGGAGGATAACGGGAGGGTGGAGGTGTTGTGAAGGGGGAGCAGAGTAGTAGGAGGGTGGTGAGAGGTAAGGAGGAGGTGTGTTGCCAGGACCGAGGGTGAGTATCGGAACGGCAGCGGTAGGTTATAACTCCGGAGGTGAAGAGGGTGGAGGTCCGGAAGTCGGGTCGGGGTCGGGTATGCACGGATATGACAAATCGCAATTCTGTTAAAAATGACATCATATTGAAATAATCGCGACACAACAATTTTAGTTACCTTGAATTCATCAAATCCATCAGGGAATCTCTTGTAATGTTCATTGAGCGGCGCCAGGTGGATAAATGTAACCAAGTTTTGTGTGAGGAATGTATTAAACTCGTTCTGCAAATTGGACCCTTGTGCAAAGAGTTGTGAGGGGTCTAAGTGGTCTAATAAGTAATGACGAGCATATCGGAGATGATGAGCATATCGGTAGCGAAAAGGGAAGTTGCTTTCTCTATTAGGAAGATTGCTCCATTTCCCCTCTTCTCCTAAAGGGAGAACAGTGGGCAACCCAAACACATCCTGCTCGCAACTATTATTGAAAAATCGGAGGAGTGGCAGTCCGAAGAAATACTTATTTGCATCCCTGATAAAGAATACTTTGTCATTTTCATCACCAATCGGATCCCCCGTTATAAACTCTTTCATCGTTGCATGATAGAATTTGACACTCTGGATTTCCTCTGAGGGACTGTCTGGAGGACTTTCCGAAGAACGTTCCAAGCCACTCTTTGAAGAAAGATCAACAATTGAGCGAATTGGATCCAATATGGCTAGGACCTCTTCCTCGGCAATTCCTGACAGCTGCGATATAAAAAACACACTTAGTGACTCGAATGCCGCGTTGATTGTCGCAACCACTTGGCGGTACTTCTTGGCTGTATGTGCACGGACTCCAGATGAACCGACTATATAGGCACGGCGAAGTACACGCAGGTACTCCTTATTGATGTCTTCAGGGGCATCGATCAAATCACGAAAGTATTCGAACTCGGATCGAAGGGTTGCACCACGACAGGTTTGAAAGGAGACATCCCGGACTCGGATTGAGGCGATAATCGGCAATCCACGACATGCTGAGACAAACGCATCCACTTCTTCTTTTGATGGTTTCCAGGAAGAGTCATCGATGCAATCCCGAAGGCCTTCCTCCACCATGCGGTGAATAGTGTGGAACTTCTCTTTCTCCGCGACAATGTCCACGTCTTCACAAGGTATGACAAGACCTTGAGCTCGAGCTCTAACCCAAGCCGACACAACGGATGACTCTGGCCGACAGCTGACCAACACAGCAAATGCGGCAGGCAGCTCATCAAGGATAAGTACTAGCTTCATTAAGGACTTAAGTTCCTCCTGAGCCCCACACTCGTCCAGTCCATCCAAGATGATGACGGGACGCTCCCCACGCAAAGATGGGAGTTTGTGTATGAGATCGACAATCAGAGATCCCATCTGCTCCTCCAGTCGGAGGTCCTTCAGTGCCGGGGACTGTCGAAGTTGACTGACAAGAAGACCTTCATACTCAGCGTTAAACAAGGCAAGCTGACGTGCGAGAGTAGAGGGAAAGTGTTCAATCGAAGCAAGTCCTTCTCCCTGACGATTTTTGTCCCAGAAGAAAGATGCTGCCAAGCGACCCTGCTTGTTAAGAGCCGAGGCAACACTCATTGATATAGCGGTCTTTCCGGTGCCCGGAGGGCCACGAAGCCAGACAAACCGGTGCTTCCGGTTCTCCAAATGATCGAGTATTGATTCCTGGATCTGGACACGCGTACTTTCCAGGCAATCCGACTTGCTTTTCACGGCAGAATACCCCGCATTTGCTTTGTGGAGTTTTGAGAGTTCATCTGAAATGTTCATTAAATTCCAAACGGTGAAATCAATGGAGAACAACAAACAGTCCACCGATAACCGAATTGTGTGGAGGAGATTTAGAGTTGTCGCAGCAGTCTATGGAGAACCCACCAGTCAATCTTCTAATGGCCTGAATGTAGACGAGACGAACCGAAAAGCGGGAGATAGCATCACGGATGCACGACTGTACGGCGCTTATTTCCTGGGTTATCTCAGTCGCTAAAATTACCCTCTTGGCAAGCTTTTGACGTTTGAGTGCCTCGATTTGCTTTAATTGTTGTTTTAGAGCTCTGTGACCGAGGGTTAAGATTTGGGCGAGAGAACGATGAATTGAATGCACATACAAGTTAAATCGTTCAATCAGATCACTTATTTCGAGAGGAACTTGGCCAGTCCACAACTGGAGAGGCCTAAAGATCGTTTCGTGAGCCTTTCGAACCTCATCGTCCAATCCCTTGAGATTTTCGTCATTGTTGTCAATCGTCTGCATGAAGACATGGAGGTTATTTCATTAGATCGCAAAATCGCAACAACACCTGCGAACCTCGTAAACTTGGAGCCATGCCAGGAGTATACTTGGTATCTGATCGAGGTTTGGGATAGGGACGAACTTAAGGGCAGAGGCGGCGGTTTGAAGGATGAGCTTTGTGGCGGCGATGATTGTTTTCTTTCCGTCACCAGCAGGGACAGCCGAAGATGACGGCGTCCGATCTATCGAAAATGGGGTATCTAAGTCCACACCTGTGCGTTTTGGGGGTGTCTCAATGTTGCCATGGATGATGTGCTCGTGGGGCATCATGTGAGGGATATCAATGGCCCCCGAAGGGAGAACGGGAGATGACGATCGATTAGAGGGTGGTGGGTCGGGCGTAGAGGGGGAAGATTGTCTGTGATCGGAGGGCTTCGATTGGTCGATATGATTGGGATCGGGACTGGGACTTCCGCTCAACAGCTTAGCTAGAGTGTGCCGAACAAACCACCGCTTCCGGCCTCGAGAACTACCGCCAGATGCAGTAAGAGGCTTAAGACGGGATCTATCAGATCCACCGCAATCTGTGCTAGTCGTTGCATCGCTTTCAGTGGGAGAAGTAGTGATCTGAAGGCTGGGAACAGAGGTCGAGGGTTGCGAAGGGCCACCGGGAGGTGCAGGAGAATGTCCTCTGTTAGAAAACTTAAATCGATCAAACATCGTGTATCAGCAATCGCAGAGGGTGTTGTGGGCAGAGAGGAGAGTTGAACCGCACACGACATATAAGGCAGTACTGTCCTCACCACTGCCAAATCAGGATAACAAATATTCAAGTACCCTTCTGTCAGCGATGGAATGTTAACTACGCTACCTAGGGCCGATAACGAAATCCAAAAAACCCACTTGTGTTTACTACGCTCCCTTGAGTATTTTGTAAGCGATTTTTTGACATAGTCTCCTTCGTTGATAGTTATTTGGTTCGGACCAAGCAAACTATCCGATACACGAATATTCAAACTGATTGCAAACTGATTGCACACAAACATCAGAGTCTAGCTCGTCCACCTTGTCACCCCCCGGTGATTCCCTCTCCACTGCCATCTAGCAATACGCTTCAGCCCGGTTGCTTCGATTCCAATGTTCTGAGTCATACCAGAACAGCTCCAGATGACTTCCCTGCTCCTCGTATAGGGATAGATAGGGATCCAAGCCATTGATGGTGGGCTGAGTCTGACTGGATGGCTTTGTGTAATGCCGACACAAACTTAGATGAAAATTTAGCAGCAATCACTTGCCAGGCGAGGTATCCACTATTTGTCGGCCAGTAATAGCACTGATGCGCAAAATATTTCAATCTTGCGCTTTAAGACTTTATTGCTGCTGGGATTCTATCTGTAGTATCCGCTTCTAACTTTAATTGGCGACCTCGCACCTATCCAAGTAGCGGAGGTATTCTGTTTCGCTGTCGTTCTAAAACATGAATTTACCTAGTCCTCCCCCACATATCAAGTGCTACTATCCTTGAGGATCGATGGGTGGGTGGAAGATGTTAATATTTGGAGTGATGACGAAGTTCCATCCGTACAGAGTATCTCGATCTCAGGCTCTATACAGACGGCAATCACACGAGCGCACCACAATAGACTTTTTGTTAGTCCCTCCCCCTCCCCTCCCCAGAAATTGTACTTCATCGATTCCCTCTGTTTTCTTCTGCTCATGTCACTCCGCCGTCTCCGCGTTAACGCGTCAATATAGCTCCATCAGGTTGTTACTTTAAAACGGTCCGTCCATCCTTTCCCATCACTAGCTCTCCCGCTTCTTCCCTCAGAGCCACCGACTGGAAAGCGTCCCCGCAATGCTCAACAGGTGATTTTTCTCCTCTTCTTTTCCGCCAACCCACTCTGTGCTTCCAATCTGGTGGGGGAGAGAGAGTTTGACACTTTCTATTACTGTTTGAATTTATCCAGAGCATCGAACATCGCCGGCAAGGTTGAAAGGCATTTGACCTTACAGAGGGTCAAATAATCGGGATGACAGCGATGAATCTGCTGGTTCCGCTCAGAAAATTTCGGGTATAAGTCTTCATGCCAAACGAAAGATAATCTGTTCGGAATGCGTGCCCGCAAGCACCCTCAGTCCTCAAAAGTGACAATTATCTCTGCCAGTATCGTAGGAGCAATGTTTATTAATGGGGGCCATAGGTGGATGTCGGATGGGGATTCCATGAGTTGCTGGGAGGACGCCTGGCTCATCTGATCCATGCAAGAAAATCTTGATGTAGATATATGATCCTTGTTCGGGGTGGTGGCGCTTCGCCGTTTGACTTCAGAGCAAGAGGATGTTGTTCCCCCTTCACCTGTCGTTCACAACTAACTGGTTATTATAAAATGTCAAGCGCAAATGATGTACAAATCGGAGGACAATGTATAACGCAGTGACAGAAAAACGCTCGAGCTAGGCGACTAATCAGTGGAGAAGAAGGAATCGCAATGACCGTGACCCATCCTAAACGACTTGCTAATTTCGACGACAATTGGAGTCGTCATCCAATCTTGGAGCAGAAGTCGAGTCGCCCCCTTGCTCGACCAAAGGTGCTAGTGATTCGTGATGTGTAGCGGTCTTCGTGCGTGCTTGGTGGGAGGCCGTAAATTGGGACGCATCTGAGTCACGCATATATCCGGTTCGGAGAGGTGTATGTCTACGGGATCACCAGGGAGGATTGGGTCGAGGGGATACAGGAGCAGGGATGAGATATGAGCAAGTGGTAGGGACCTGTGAGATTCATAAATCAAGAACTGACATTCGTAACGCTGTAAGGGGCAATGAACTCGCCCGACTCGGTCGACTAAGTGAAAGCGCTGACTCCATCGAAATACCATACTCCGGAAGGAAACCCAGGCGCGCGACGACGAGGAATGGCTAGCAAAGGATTCGGGTGGAAGGATGGAGTGGAAGGGTCGGAAGGAGAGGGGGGTCGTCGGAATAGGCGTCACGTTGCCGGCATGTTGTCATACCAAGGCCTCTGACAATGTCCCAGCACGAGTGGGCCGTTGGGGGGAGTACCAAGACTCACGGGGAGGATACCATGGCTAAGGGTGACGACGACTGCGGACATCCTAGACGACTTTACTAATATCGACGACAATTGGAGCCGTCATCCGGCCTTGGAGTTCCATCCTTGCTGGATGGAAGCGGTAAGAGATTCGTAGCATCAAACGGCGCTTCATTACCATACCAAGCTCTCAGACGGTTGTTGTCACGCACCCTAAGATCACCGCGGAAGAGAATTCTGTTCTGCAGTTGGACCATATTAGTAGCTCACTCACGTTTCCGGTGCACAATAGCGGGATTCTTCCGGCAACAGGGAATAGACGCCAAGATCTTCATGCATGCCCAACCCGTCTACTTTACATCCACTAATTCGGAATGATGCGCGTGTCCTTCAGTGAGTCGGGTGGACACGGGACCAGGAATATATGAGATGTGAGCAAGGGGTTGGACTGTGGGATTCATAATCCAAGAACTGAATTTCGTAACACGATGACGCGCAATCAACTCTGTAAACCAGGAGAAAACCTAGATGTGCGGCGATGAGGGCTGGGTAACAAAGGATTTGAGCGGAAGGATGGAAGGGAAGCGAGGTGTGGGTCGTTTGAAGCCGATGTACGCGTTATGTTGTCACACCAAGGCTTGAACTCGTCCGACAAATGATCCATTATCCGACACTAAAGTACCAGTATACGTAGGGAAGGGGCCATTAATACCGAGATTTGCGGGGGTCCTACCATGGCTATGGACTGGCATTCTCCTCGTTTTCTTCGGTAACGACAGTTGCTGCCATGGATCGAGCTGGAATCGGGAAATAGTGCGTTGGTTGATGCCGGTGAGGTCGATGATACCGTCACCAAAACCGAGGGCTACATGACGACCATCGGGGGAGAAGCGCCGCACATGAATGATGTCACAACACTGTTGCGATGATTGAATTGGGCTTCGTAATTGGTCGCGTCACCATCCCATCTGTCAACCTTCTTTGGCAACTTTGCTTCCATGACCGTTCGGGCATTGAGTAAATTCTCACTCAACGAGATTTGCGTGTCCAGAACAATCGCCAGAAATGGCGAAGACCCGGACAGGATCAGAGATGATCGTACAGTTCGTAAAAAGGTGACGAGGATGGGGTGAAAGCAAACAACAGTTCGGTAGTTGAAGATGACTGTTCCGAAATTGGAATTATGCGCGATTCTTCTTTTGAGCTTCTCTCGGAGCTCGAATGAATCGCAATTCTATCAGAAAATGACATCAGCATCGTTAAAGGACTTATGTGTGATATCACCCACATGATGTAAATGAACGAAATTCCCGTTCATCTCCTAAAATGGGAGTAGCAGGCATCCCAAATACATCTGGCTCATTATTGTTGAGAACCCGAAGGAGCGGCAGTCCGAGGAAGTCGTTTTCGCAACCAGTTGGATACCCTGAACGTTATCAATCCCTTCACCGCTGTGTGTGATAGAATGTGACACACTTCGCGTCACTGTCCTCGAGGCTTTATAACCTTCGCTCAAGCGCTGATGGAGTGCTTGCGGCAGCTATTGCAAAGATCATAGGGCAGCGTATAGCCAATTCACGAATTAGGTACTAACGGAGTGATTACCCAGCAATCAAGTATATCAGCGAACCCAGATATCTATCACATGTTTCTAATGGTGCTCGCAAATTCGAACTCATCATGAATCCAATCTATGCCTTGCCTAATACACACCATGAGCGGCGCCAAAGCCCTTTCCAGTCGGGTTTCCAAGTGGATCGTCCCTAGCGACGAGTTGTCGATTTCAGATTACCGCACCCACTAAGCTTCGCAGTGACTGCGCGCTTCATGCTGCGTAAACACAATTCGCGGGGCGCTTGCACTGGTTTACGTAACTAGTTGACCAAAGCAGTGGATCGGGGGAGGTAGGAGTCGAGATAGCATCAGTTCGGGAGGTGTCAAACCCCCGGCCCCAAACCTGGCGGCAGTGACGTGTAAACAGCCTTTTGTCCAGAATTTTGGTACCAAGATGGTATATTCACTGCACGACCAAAGGCAGTCGGTCAGACAATGGACTAGGCCAGTCGGAGTCGGAGCTACCTACCAACGGTGTGAGCCAGTTTGTTCAAATTTATGAAGCGAAGAATTGGACAGCAACGAGCCCACTGAAATTGTGGATCCTAGGAAGGGTAGAGCCCAATACTAAAGGCGCAGGAAATAGAGCCTAGGAATGACCCGCTTGTCTTCGGCGCCTTTTAGTCTAACATCTCTGTTTCGCTGTTTCACTTGAGTGATTGGTTGGAGCAAGCGCAAGCCCATGAAAGAACGTTTAGCCAAGCGTTCTTGTGACGCTAAAGGGGCCAGCTACTACAGGAAACCCCCCTGAATGGCCACATTAGTGGATCCCGTTGATGAGCCGAAGCAGTTGTGTCTCTCATCATTGGTTCGCCACTGGCATTTCACTCGCGCCACGATCAATCGTGGTACATACCGCATGACGACCCGCGATGTTCGGAAATCACATTGAGGCAGCTCCTTGAGACATCGGGCACTTAGCTAAAGCATTAGTATATGGCGAGAAGTTAGGGAACCTCCTCGAGCCCTTGACATGTTGGACAAGAGCCATGTATGTACGGTTGTTTGTGTCGTAGTCTAAATCTGAGAAGTCTCTATATATATCCAACGGATTTTACACAGCCAAGTGCCCCTCCTCGGATATACTGAAGAAGATACAAGGGTTCTTCTAGGATGTAAGCCGTGCCCATAGCTGGCAACCTCCGAATGAATTGGCAGGTGGTTGCGCAATGGAAATAGGAAATTGACACCTGTCGCTGAACGACTTACATGGTTGCCGTACCCCGTTCCTTTTGAGAGCTTTCCGCAACAGCAGCCGACCTATTGTTTCCGCGATGGTTATCGATGCGCCTTTTGGCGCAAAAGGATCAGTATGCCCCTCACCCTTCGTATGTCGGTTTCGAGGGCTGGTATACTCGGATACAAGACGAATCAGCGGGACTCTCCATCATTCTGATTTTTTGCTCTCTTGGAGACTCGACGCCATCAGGTACTCCTCGGAAGCACTATTTCCATTTCTCAGTAATGTCTATTGGTGACTCGTCTACTATCGAGCCGGCCGAGTTCCACTTGTTTCCTGATGAGCTTCAACATATCGTGGACTCCCCGCCCGATCCAGAGACAGGTTTGCAACCATATACTTTGAACATACCTCATTGGAAGCTTCGCCGTGGAGCCAAAGACCCAACGGTGTAATCTCACCGTCCCCTGTAGAGAAAGCTCTTCCGAGCACTGGAAAGTGTCCATAGACATAACCGATCGTGTTCCATTATCGCAGGAGCACCCTCTACTGAGTACTCCGCACAGCATGGCCCTTTCAAGATTGGAAACTTTACTTCCATTGCATTGGGCAATTTTCTCAACCGGATCGAAGGCAAATTACGACGTGAAGCATATCGGCGCCGATGGGGTGGGATTGGAAGTCTTTGGAGGCACTGGGGTGGCACATATGAAAAAGAACTGGGGCGCATCATTTCCAACTGGCTGGACATGGCACGTCGCTACACTGCACTTCACCCACTTCTCAATTCGAGCTTTTTTTTATGTTGTAGGTGTCAAGCATTTGGCGCATCTTCGCACGACCCCGCGCAGACATTCGGTGACCATCGAGACAATGCGACGAGAGATTGTGCTGCCATTGCGGGCGGTGTTCTCGCTTTGGGTCAAAAGGCATATCTCATCCATTACAAGGATTCAGGCAACGCCTGGCGCCCTCGTCGCGAACGTTCGATACATCCAAGGTATCCAGCGAAAGATCATGAAAGTACTGAACATTCTGATCCTAATGACAAGCAACGTATCAACTGGACCTCCCGCCCATTATGGACTCTGATTCTAGCACTCCCATATCCCGCTGGTATCCCACGATTCAAGGTATCGCGGAAGAATCCATTGAAAAAGCCCTTATCATCTAATACCTTTAACTCCTCTGCTGGCCGTGGGCCAACCGCCGTCAGCACATTGACGTTTAATTTTTCCATCCTCGGCCTCCCTGCACTGTCCCTCATGATCCCTTATGCCGTCATCCAGTTTTCCCCATTTGGATCCATGCATGAAACGTTCACATACGATGAACGCTCAGGATTCGGACGATTGCAGCTTACCGCCGCGACCCTTAACAGACGGATCCTAATCGATGTACGGTCAGAGTCGCCGCCTGCCACTCTCAATTCACAAGTACAGCCGAGATGGCTTGCACTCCATTGCCCGATGCCTGGTGGGCATGCCACACGTGCGTACGAGTCATTCACAGCAAGGGCAACGATAAGAGCCTACAGGCGCCAGTGGAGATCTGGCTGGCCACGATGGGTCGAAATCAGGAACGTCGAGTTTGAACACGCGGCATTGGAGTTTGGAGGATTGTATGCTGCGATAGCATGATCAGCGCCTCAATAAATCAAAGACGCCAATATGAGACGAGTTTATTATAACTTGCAGGAAAACTGTGCCCTTCCAGTTGCATATATTGGACCCTGGCTGCTCACCTTCTATAACTTTATTCCAAACTGTGCAGATGTGTTATTCTGTACGTAGGGCTTGCGGGGATCGGGTGGAGTATATGGATCAATGGCCACCCCAGGCTGATGCTGGTACGTCGAGGAACCTGATGTGTTTGGTTCCGAACACAATAACCAGTTGGATAAAATGTTGCTCTTTTCTGGCGTGCATGATTCTGGGATGAAGTCATCGAGAACTGCTACCGTGGGTGGAGGGTTTAAGGATACCTATCCCATTCCTTTGCGCACTGGTCTTGGGATTAACGACACAAATTCTGCAGCTTTCGCTGCCACACGTTTCGGTGCGATCAAGCCAGGGTGGAACGAGGCAATCCTCATAAGTTCATGGGAAGTTGGGATGGGGTTGCCCATACGTTGACTTTATTTAACGCGATGCAAAAAAATCGTTCACCTTTGTCCCGATTAGTATCTTGTAGCACTAAACGCTCGCACACCCGCATATCTATCATTTATACAACATTGGTTCTTTGTCACATTATGGATGAACGCCGGGTGAAACGGTGGAAATTGGCAAAAGAAATACCGATTTTTTTGATACGTTCAAAGTGATCCGTTTCGGCCAAGCCTTTTAGCGGTGCAGGTTGGCTTAAATGGACAGATAGATATATATACCTTCATTCTTCTGATGCGGAGTGAAAGTGAATCAAGGAAGTATGGAAAGCGCAAAATTAAAAAGTCTGTGGTCGCAAACGCTGATGAGCATTCATGTTGTCCAGCCTGGGGGTAAACAACAGTGCAAGGAAGGGATGGTCATAGATCCGTTGAAGTCTCCAAGCCCGTATTTATACACACTGCACCATAGGGAAAAGGAACCTCGTCCGAGGGAAGTCCAGAAAGATGGAAGGGCGGCCTAGCGAAGCTTCGCGATTCCCCCTCTGATAGTGGATAGAACGCGCAAGGTAAATAAGAATATATTGCAATCGATCACAAACATCCTAAAGGACCTGACTAAGATCAACGACAATTGGAGCTGTCTGTTGGCCTTGCAAGAGAATTCGAGTCCCATCTTTGCTGGACCGAGGGCTGTACAGATAGGTAGGATCAGATGGCACTTGATCACCATACCAAGCGCCTAGACCTCCGGCACCAGAAAAGACAACTAGGCGATACTCGGGAATAGAGAATTCAAGTTCGCCATCGAAGTACACTTCTACCCCATCCTCGCCGATACCAATTCCGAAAAGTGGGGTTCTTCCGGCTGCGGATGAATGGATTCCATACACCACCCGTATGTAAATGGTGTTCTCCTTGGTCAAGATAACATAAAATGGGCACTTGATCCAGGATTCGTCCAAGTTATGCCCTGCGTGTGTTTCAGAATGATGTACATCTGCTGCTTCACCTTCTGTCAAGGAAAGGGTAGGCTGAGTGGATACAGGATCAGGAATGCGATAAGAGTGGGCGAGGGGAACAGCAGGATTCATGATCCAAAGCTCGAAATCTGTCACATGATAACTCGCAATGAGCTCACCCGAACCTGTCGACCAGGTGAAAGCACTGAGGCCATCAAAAGCGCCGAGATAATGTGCTCCCGGAGAAAACCCAAGCGTGCGACGGTGAGGGATCACTGGGGATGCAGAGGGCCTAGTAGGAGGGTTGGAAGTTGGAGTGAAACTATTGGAAGTAGGGGGTGCAAGGTGCTGCATGTGCGGGTCACCTGAAATGGATATGAGGGTCATGCTGTCGTACCAAGAACTATCAGCGTTCCGTGGAACCCGTACGATAAATAATCCATTATCTGATACTCGAGTTACAGCAGGAAGAGGATTGTTGGGAAGAGTACCGATATTAATGGAAGTCATATCGTGGCTAAGGATGGTGACGTTCCCCTGATTGTCCTCAGCAGCAACTCGGTGGCTGCCATGGACAAATTCGATCCAGACTGGATGGTTGGGTGGATCAAGCTGGAATCGGGAAATTGTGTGCTGATGGTCGATATCAGCGAGTTCGATGACACCGCTACCAAAACCAAGAGCTACATGGTGACCATCAAGGGAGAGCGCCGCGCATGTCACAATACCATTACGAAAATCAGGGTCGTTGAATTGGGCGTCATAATCAGCCACAATACCCTTACCATATACCTTCTTTGGCAAATTAGGTAGCTTCGCCTCCATGACCATTCGAGCATTGAGTAAATCCTCACTCAATGGGATTTTGTGCCCAGAAAACTCGCCGGAAATGGTGAAGATCCGGATGGGATCGGAGAGGTGGCCATACAGTTTGTGAAAAGGTGATGAGGATGGGGTGAAAGGAAGGGTTACTCAATAGAGGTTCCATGGTTCCAAGACAAGATACACCATAGATTGCATTTCACGTGCTTCGTTCAAAAGTTTGAATGAATCGCAATTCTGTTAAAAATGACATCATATTAAAATAATCACAACGCATTAATTTTATTTACCTTGAATCCATCAAATCCATCAGGGAATCCCTTCCCAAGTTCATCAAGGTGCATAAATGTAACCAAGTTTCGTGTGAGGAATGTATTAAACTCGTTCTGCAAATTGGACCCTTGTGCAAAGAGTTGTGAGGGGTCCAAGTGTTCTAATAAGTATTCACGAGTATATCGGAGATGATGAGGGAGGTGACGTTTCCTCTTCCGAAAATCGCCCCATTTCTGTTTATCTCCTAAAGGGAGAACAGTGGGCAACTCAAACACATTCCGTTCACAACTATTATTGAAAAATTGGAGGAGTGGTAGTCCGATGAAATACTTATTCGCATCTCTGATAAAGAATACTTTGTCATTTTCATTACCAATCGGATCCCCCGTTATGAACTCTTTCATCGTTGCATGATAGAATTTGACACTCTGGATTTCCTCTGAGGAACTTTCTGGAGGACTTTCTGCAAGACTTTCCGAAGAAGGTTCCAAGCCAATCTTTGAAGAAAGATCAACAATTGAGCTAATTGGATCCAATATGGCTAGGACCTCTTCCTCGGCAATTCCTGACAGCTGCGATATAAAAAACACACTTAGTGGCTCGAATGCCGCATTGATTATGGCAACCACTTGGCGGTACTTCTTGGCTGTATGTTTACGGACTCCAGATGAACCGACTATGTAGGCACGGCGAAGTACACGCAGGTACTCCTTGTTGATGTCTTCAGGGGCATCGATCAAATCACGAAAGTATTCGAACTCGGATCGAAGGGTTGCACCACGACAGGTTTGAAAGGAGACATCCCGGACTCGGATTGAGGCGATAATCGGCAATCCACGACATGCTGAGACAAACGCATCCACTTCTTCTTTTGATGGTTTCCAGGAAGAGTTGTCGATGCAATCCCGAAGGCCTTCCTCCACCATGCGGTGGATAGTGTGGAAGTTCTCTTCCTCAGCGACAATGTCCATGTCTTCACAGGGTATGACAAGACCCTGAGCTCGAGCTCTAACCCAAGCCGACACAACAGATGACTCTGGCCGACAGCTGACCAACACGGCAAATGCGGCAGGCAGCTCATCAAGGATAAGTACTAGCTTCATTAAAGACCTAAGTTCCTCCTGAGCTCCACACTCGTCCAGTCCATCCAAGATGATGACAGGACGCTCCCCACGCAAAGATAAGAGTTTGTGTATGAGATCGACAATCAGAGATCCCATCTGCTCCTCCAGTCGGAGGTCCTTCAGTGCCGGGGACTGTCGAAGTTGACTGACAAGAAGACCTTCGTACTCGGCATTAAACAAGGCAAGCTGGCGTGCAAGAGTAGAGGGAAAGTGTTCAATCGAAGCAAGTCCTTCTCCCTGACGATTCTTGTCCCAGAAGAAAGATGCTGCCAAGCGACCCTGCTTGTTAAGAGCCGAGGCAACACTCATCGATATAGCAGTCTTTCCCGTACCTGGAGAGCCACGAAGCCAGACAAATCGGTGCTTCCGGTTCTCCAAATGATCGAGTATCGATTTCTGGATCTGGACACGCGTACTTTTCAGGCACTCCGACTTGCTTTTCACGGCAAGATATCCCGCATTTGCTTTGTGGAGTTTTGAGAGTTCATCTGAAATGTTCATTAAATTCCAAACGGTGAAATCAATGGAGAACAACAAACAGTCCACCGATAACCGAATTGTGTGAAGGAGATTTAGAGTTGTCGCAGCAGTCTATGGAGAACCCACCAGTCAATCTTCTAATGGCCTGAATGTAGACGAGACGAACCGAAAAGCGGGAGATAGCATCACGAATGCACGACTGTACGGCGCTTATTTCCTGGGTTATCTCAGTCACTAAAATTACCCTCTTGGAAAGCTTTTGATGTTTGAGTGCCTCTATTTGCTTTAATTGTTGTTTTAGGGCTCTGTGACCGAGGGTTAAGATTTGGGCGAGAGAACAATGAAGTGAATGCACATACAGTTAAATCGTTGAATCAGATCACTTATTTCGAGAGGAACTTGGCCAGTCCACAACTGGAGAGGCCTAAAGATCGTTTCATGAGCCTTTCGAACCTCATCGTCCAATCCCTTGAGATTTTCGTCATTGTTGTCAATCGTCTGCATGAAGACATGGAGGTTATTTCATTAGATCGCAAAATCGCAACAACACCTGCGAACCTCGTAAACTTGGAGCCATGCCAGGAGTATACTTGGTATCTGATCGAGGTTTGGGATAGGGACGAACTTAAGGGCAGAGGCGGCGGTTTGAAGAATGAGCTTTGTGGCGGCGATGATTGTTTTCTTTCCGTCACCAGCAGGGACAGCCGAAGATGACGGCGTCCGATCTATCGAGGATGGGGCATCTAAGTCCACACCTGTGCGTTTTGGGGGTGTCTCAATGTTGCCATGGATGATGTGCTCGTGGGGCATCATGTGAGGGATATCAATGGCCCCCGAAGGGAGAACGGGAGATGACGATCGATTAGAGGGTGGTGGGTCGGGCGTAGAGGGGGAAGATTGTCTGTGATCGGAGGGCTTCGATTGGTCGATATGATTGGGATCGGGACTGGGACTTCTGCTCAACAGCTTAGCTAGAGTGTGCCGAACAAACCACCGCTTCCGGCCTCGAGAACTACCGCCAGTTGTAGTAAGAGGCTTAAGACGGGGTCTATCAGATCCACTGCGATCTGTGCTAGTTGTTGCAACGCTTTCAGTGGGAGGAGTAGTGATCTGAAGGCTGGGAACAGAGGTCGAGGGTCGCGAAGAGCCACCGGGAGGCGCAGGAGAGTGTCCTCTGTTAGAAAACTTAAGTCGATCAAACATCGTGTATCAGCAATCGCAGAGGGCGTTGTGGGCAGAGAGGAGAGAGTTGAACCGCCCTCAACCACACATCGACATATAAGGCAGTACTGTCCTAACCACTGCCAATGCAGGACAACAAATATTGAAATACCCTTCTGTCGGCGATGGAATGTTAACTACGCTACCTGGGGCCGATAGCGAAAACCAAAAAAACCACTTGTGTTTACTACGTTCCCTACTACGTTCCCTTGTAAGTAATTTTTTAACATTGTCGCTGTCGTTGATAGTTATTTGGTTCGGACCACACGCAGCCTTGTGTTGCCTGCCACAGCGAACTGTCCTATACGCGAATATTAAACTGATTGCACACACAAACATCAGGGTCTCGTCTGTTGTCCACCTTGTCAGTTGTTCCCTCTCCGCTGCCATCTAGCAATATGCTTCAGCCCGGTTGCTTCGATTCCAATGCTCTGAGTCATCCCCAAACAGCACTAGATGACTTCCCAGCTCCTCGTATAGGGATCCAAGCCATTGATGGTGGGCTGTGTCTGACTGGATGGCTTTGTGTTAATGGCGACACAAACCTAGACGAAATTTCAGCAGCAATTACTTACCAGGCGAGGCATCCACTATTTTTGTCGGCCCACTGACCAGTAATAGAACTGATGCAAAAAATATCAATATTCCAATCTTGCGCTATTACTGTTGGATTCCTTTCTGCGGTGTCCGCTTCCCTCAACTCTAATTGGTGGCCTCGCACCTCCGGGTATCCAAGTAGCGGAGGTATCCTATTTCGCTGTCGTTCTAACACATGAATTTACCTAGTCTTCCCCACATATCAAGTGCTACTATCCTTGAGAATGGGTGTTAATACTTGGAGTGATGACGAAGTCCCATCCGTACAGAGTATCTCAATCAGGCTCTATACTCTCAGACGGCAATCATTTCTTCTGCTCATGTCACTCCACCATCCGCGTGATGCGCCAACATAGCTCCACCGGGTTGTTACTCTTCAACACGCTAAGCGATCCGTCCATCCCTTCACGTCAGTACTAGCTCTCCCGCTTCTTCCCTCAGAGCCACCGACTGGAAAGCGTCGCCCCAATGCTCGAAAGGTGATTTGTCTCCTCTTCTTTCGCCAACCGGCTCTGCTTCCAACCTGGTGGGGGAGAGAGGTTTGACACTTTCTATTACTGTCTGAATCTATCCAGAGCATCGAACATCGCCGGCAAGGTTGAGAGGCATTTGGCCTTACAGAGGGTCAAGTAAAGGGGATGGGAATGCGGCTCCTCGGACTCGCAAGCACCCTCAGTGACAATATCTCTGCCAGTATCGTAGGAGCAATGGGCCGTAGGTGGATGTCGGATGGGGATTCCATGAGTGCAGCAACCAATGCCGGAAGTATGCTTGGCTCAACTAATCCAGGCAAGTGGATATATGATCCTTGTTCGGGGGTGGTGGCGCTTCGCCATTCGACTTCAGAGCAAGAGGATGTTGTTTCCCCCTTCACCTGCCATTCACAACTAACTCGTTATCATTAATATTATAAAATGTCAAGCGCAATGATGTACAAATCAGAGGACAATGTATAACGCAGTGACAGAAAAACGCTCGAACTAGGCGACTAACAAGTGGAGAAGAAAGAATCGCAATGACCCCCGACCCATCCTGAACAACTTGCTAATTTCGACGCCAATTGGAGTCGTCGTCCGGGAGCAGAAGTCGAGTCGCATCCTTGCTCGACCGGAGGTGATAAAGATTCGTGATTCATAGCATCAAACAGCACTCGATCACCACATGAGGCTCCTAGATGATTGACGCAACCCGGTACCGCATGGAGACAATGGATTCTGTTCTGCCGTCAAACCATGTTTCCTATCCAGAGCAATAGGGTTCTCCCTGCAACAGACGAATTAACGCCGAGGTCTTCGTGCATGCTTGGTGGGAAGCCGTAAATCGGGATGCATCTGAGTCACGCATCCGGTTCAGAAAGGTGCATGTCTGCTGGATCACCAGGGAGGATTGGGTCGAGGGGATACAGGAGCAGGGATGAGATATGAGCAAGTGGTGGGGATCTGTGAGATTCATGGATCGGAAACTGACATTCGTAACGCTGTAAGGCGCAACGAACTCGCCCGACTCGGTCGACTGAGTGAAAGCGCTGACTCCATCGAAAGTACCAAAATACCATGCTCCGGAAGGGAACCCAATGCGCGCGACAACGAGGAATGGCTAGCAAAGGATTTGGGTGGAAGGATGGAGTGGAAGGGTCAGAAGGAGAGGGAAAACGTGCGGGTCGTCGCCATGTTGCCGACCTGTTGTCGTACCAAGGCCTCTGTGTCAGGGACTCGTCCGGGGTCGAGGGGTCCGGGTATAGCGTCCGGGACCGAGAGCCTGGCGGGGGCGGATCGGGCGTGCGTACTGACAGGCCCGATGTGGGACAGTGGTCCCTGGCCACTTAGACTGAAGTGGAAGGTTGGTATTATCATTAAAGGAGAGATATTGTACTGCTTACCTGAAGTGGAAGGTTGAGAAGAAGGCTACTTCTTCGGTTCCCACTTCAGGTTCGTTTATATACATGCGGCTTGGATCACATGATGGGTGCCACGTCACCCTCGCACACAGCCGTAACCACCCGGGTGTCTCCGTGGGAGATCCCGAGGGTATCCGGTGCAGGCGCGCGTGCTGGGCACAGCGGGAGGTCGCCCGAGGTGCCCGGGCCGGGTACATGGTGGGCGCGCTGCAGATGGGTCAATTGTACAATGATACAGAGAAAGTCGTCCATGTGGAATAAAGGGAGAATAAAGAAGGAGTAAGATAAGGAGGAACTGAGGAGGGGAGGATGAGGGGAGAAGAAGGAAAAGGGGGAGGAGGTAAGGAAGGGTGGGCCAGCGGGTACCGGGCCAGGTTGGGCCGGGTGGAGCCGGGTCAGGCGGGTGTGCCCTGACATCACCCCCCCTTAAGCCGCTTCGCCTTGAAGCGGCCAGGTGGTTCTCCCTTTCTCTCCCTGGGGCTTGGGGGTGCGTCCTGTGAAATTCTTCGATTCGGTCGGGGGCGTGGGTTAGGTGGTCCCGCTGGAGCCATTGGTTTTCAGAGTTCGGCCAGCCAGTGAACTTTACCAGATACCAGAGTTTCCGGCGTAGCCACTTAGAGTTCAGTATCTTCTCGACCTCATACTCTTCCTCTCCTTCTACCAGTTCCGGGCCTGGGCATGGGTCAGCAGGTCTCTCTGCGATACCGTCCAGGAGGTGTGGCCTGACGTTCGTCACGGACACAACTGGGTGGATTCCCTTCTGTCGGGCGGTGAGCTGGAGCTTAACGGCGGCCGGGGAGATGACTTGAGTGATCTTAAAGGGGCCAAGCCACTTGTGGTCCAGTTTCTTAGTCGGACGGTCGGTTGTGTAGTTGTAGGCATTGAGCCAGACTTGGTCACCCTCTCGATACTTAGGGGCCGGGTCACGGTCCCGGTCGTAATATCGTGCCATCTCGTCCGCTGCGTGCTCTAGGGCTGCCTTTGCCTCCTCTTGCATTTTCATCATCCTTGACGAGAATGCATCGGCGGCTTCCACCTCGGATGTGCGCGTGGGTTCTGTCCCCATCCTGGGGTGTTGGCCGGTGTCGAGTTCGAAGGGGGTTCGGTGAGTGGAGGAGTGAACGCGGTTGTTGTAGGAGAATTCTGCTAGCGGGAGCCAATCTGCCCAGTCGTCTTGGCGGTGGTTGACGAACACCCGGAGGTAGGCCTCGATCTCTTGGTTGACCCGTTCCGTCTGTCCATCCGTCTGAGGGTGGTAGGGCATTGAAGGGGTCAGCTTGACACCTAGGAGGTCTGCGAGCTCCTTCGAGAAGCGGGAGACAAAGGCGCTCCCTCTATCGCTGAGGATCTCTTCCGGGAGCCCATGGTGTCTCCAGACATGCTCTAAGAAGAGTCGTGCGATACCCTCTGAGTCCACAGTCGTCACGGTGGGGACCGCGTGGATGCGTTTGGACAGCCGGTCCACTACAACCAGGATGGCATTATATCCTCTGGACTCTGGGAGCTCCCCTATCATGTCCACTGAGATGACCTGCCAACGATGGGTGGGGATCTTATTTGGGGTAAGTTTCCCAACCTTTCGTGAGGGGAAGGGTTTGACGCGATTGCAGGTGTCGCATCTGCGTACATATCGCCCGACATACTCAGCCATCCGGGGCCACCAGTAGTCATGGGAGACGAGTTCCAGGGTTTTCCATCGCCCTGGGTGCCCCGTCGCCCGTGAGTCGTGGTGTAGCTGTACCAGATCATGGCGGAGCTGGGGATCTTTTGGGACATACACCCTTCCCCGGTATAGGATCAGGTCACCCTGCTTCTCCCATTCATCCGACCTTAACGTCCCTTCACCCAGTTCTCGCATGGCCTTCACTACCTTCTCGTCATGATCCCTTGCCTCACGTATCCTGTTGTAGTACATCTACCTCTTGTTTGATTTCCTTTTTTCTTTTCCTTTTATGTGTCACATGACTGCAGAGATGAACTCTATCTGTTTCTACTCTTGTATAAACATTACAGTTCATCTCAGGCAAGTCTCTCCTGTACTTATCTGTTTCTACTCTTGTATAAACATTACAGTTCATCTCAGAGGTGCCATAACCTGAGTTACAACAGGTTATGAGCCCAGAATACTGAAGGGGCTTTCGCAAATTTTGTTTTGAGGTCAAGTTTTCATCCAGCACTTCATATCTTCTTCCCCTGGTTGAAAACACACTCTATAACTGCTCTAAACAACCCCTGGAACCCCCTCTCAGCTGATATCTGCTATTGCGCCTCGAGATCTGCTTCAATCGACGCGAAACTTTTGCCACGTCGTCACTTCTTGTCGAACTCGACGCTCTCCGATTTTCGCGCCGATCGAATCACGGACTCCGCTGATATTTAACGAACGATTCTATCATCTTGCAACTGCTCTAGCTCCTCTGTTCTTCGACGGATCGCTCTGAAATTGATATTCGACGTACTTCGTATATTAATCTCGCGTTCCTCGCATTTTCGCGCCGATCGAATCACTCGTTCACCCGAAAAACGACCTTTAAAAATCGTACAGTTTTTGAAAGGGCTATAGCATCTCAGAAACTGTGCCAATCGCCTCGAAAGTGACATACGATATACTTCGTTTGCGGATCTACTATCCCTCCAACTTTCGTGCCGATCGCGCCATTCCTTTATCTGGAATAAGGCAAACATATTTGAGCACAAAA